TATGAATCCAATTTCAATCACAAAAAATGCTTGTATGAAAAGTAGCCTAACAGTAATATTTCTGAAAATAATTGTAATCAAGCATTCTTTTGAAAGTGATTTGTATGACAATACTATTTTATATAAACTTTTTTTGTGAATTAATGACAGATAAAGCTCTCTTTTTTACTTTTGTGCTCAACTGAAACATAGGCCTACTAACATCTCAGACAACGGTCCTGATGTTATCATACACGAGTCTCCCATCCGAAGCTCCCAATCATTTTATAGGGCCATCTGGTGTTTTATTTTTAGGGCCCTGATAATGGCACAATTTCCACCCACACACGGTGATGTCATAAATACAGAAAGTATCGGTCATTAACCCAGCATGGGGATATATTTCTCAATAGACATCATTTAGATGCGGAAAAGAACTAGTTAGCCATTGTGCTGCTCTGACGTTGCTTCCTGTCGGTGGCGGACTCACTTTTACGGGTTCTGTTTTCATCAATTGTTTCATCAAATTGTTATTTAAATGTAGTGTTTTAGAAGGCATATATATTTAGTATTAAGAGTTTGCTCCCAAACTTGCCTCCTCAGTCGCCATAAAGTCTTCATGTATGAAGATATAGGACATCACCTGTCTCATTTCATTCATGCCTGTGTATCACAAGCCAACAGGCGCGCAAAATGAGTGGAGGTGGTGAAAGATTCCCGTGTGACGTGCCAGGAAGGAGGACAAGAAAATCTGGAAACCTGATAAATAACACATGTCCCGGGGAGAAAAGCATTTTTTCTATGGTCACGTGGATGCAGTTTGGGGCCAATAAAACCTGAGGCTCTTATTGAACATCAAAAAGAGTTTAAATGCTAATGCCATAGAATGGCAACCCGAGTTGAGTAAGTCCTGAATTAATTAAGAGACAAACTGTCTGTATGATCTTCCACTTCACATGTCAAAGTGTTTGTCTGGGTGGTATTGGTTTGCATGTCAGTTCATATTCATGTTTTGTATTTTTTCTTAAATTGGTGTTAGTCATAAACTGGCAAAGACAAAGCTTACCCCTGCCCCCCTCAGTTGATGTATGAACCATAAATCGTTAGACCGCACAAAATAGATCAAGGGTCTTTCAGAAGGAGATGTGTGGGTTTAAAGAGAATATGGAATATAGCTATAAATAACAGGACAGGGCCCCTCAGGATCGTCTAATGGGATTAAAATGTTTACTTTGCAGAGTGTTGCCTCAGAGGCAAAATTATGGTTTATGTCATGTTTCATTTTAGTACAAGCATCCTTTCATCATCCTTTTCCTGAAGAATCTTTTTTTGTTGCCAGACTTCTCTTATTATTATTGAGAATGCAATAGTTGTTAGACCACAACAGTTCAGGTTGGGTTTTTTTTCAGTCTTTTATCTGAGATGTTTTTTTTCATAACCCATGCTAGTATTTATAGGATGTTTTCAAAAGTTTAGGATGGGTACATTTAAAAAAAAATGTTTTTGAAATATGTCTCTTAATTTTGCTCACCAAGGCTGCATTTATTCAATCAAAAATACAGTAAACAGTAATATTGTGAAATTTTATAACATTTTAAAATATCTGTGTTTTATTTTAATATATTCTTTTTAAATGTAATTTATTCCTGTAATGGCAAAGCGGGATTTTCAACATTACTCCAGTTTTCAGTCACATATTTCCCCTGATAAGGAAATCCTTCTAACATGTCATATGATTTGCTCAAGAATGTTCTTTTTATTATTATCAATGATGAAATTTGTTGTGCTTCTTAATAAACCGCAATACATTTTTTTCAGGATTCTTGATGAATAGAAAGTTCAATATACAGCATTTATTTGATATAGATTTTTTTTGTAACAATGCAAAAAAGTCTAATGTCACTTTTGATCAATTCAATGCATCCTTGCTGAATAAAAGTATGAATTTGTTTACAAAAAAAAAAAGAAAGAAAGATTGATTGCATTCATCAAGCTCAACCAACCTTGTTATTGTAACAAATATTTAATTTCATTTATGGGAAATATATATTAACTACAAGGTAACATTTGATCTCAAACTAGCCCCAGCTAAATTTTTATTGAATAAATTCAGCTTAATGTAAATTTGAGACCTTATTTTGCCCCGCCCCTTTTCTGCGCTGCGATCTTTGGTTGGTGTCTTCCGTTTTTTATTTCCACAGCATAAAGGTAAGATCTTACGGATTTATGAATGTATAGCTCGTTTTAAAACCTTCCCGGTCTACAGAAATTTGTTATGACATCCGCTTCACACTTCTCATGATAACTTTCGTTAACTCTACAATAAGTAAATCTTCAGCTTTAGGCCTACTCTTCGATAGGCTACAGAGCTAACATTAGCTGCTACCTGAAAACGGAAATTCAAACACAGTATACCGGTAGTAAAAAAGGTCTCACGCTTGTTTTTCTGGCGGTTGGATAACCTATATAAGAAAGTACTACTACACAGAAAGTAGTAGCCTAATAAAGCTAACATTTTAGTTTGACTTCCTGAACTTGACAATCAACATTTTCTGAAGGTTAATTTTTCACTTATCATTTGTTGAAAAAAAATAAAAGTAGCCTATTTCATTTTAAAAGTCCTATTTTAGGCCGCACATTCATTGTCTATTTGTGGAAATTGCTTAGTACACATACTGAACATGCTACCTTTTGCATGTAGGTAAATGCACTTGTGCAGAACTGCCATATTTTTAATATAATAAATAAATAAAACTATTTTAGACGGTGCTTGAATCACACAATTAATGCATGTGCGATTATAGATTTACTTAACACAAAAACGAATCTTTGAAGTCAGTAGGTCTGGGTCTTGCTTTTAATAGACACATCCACATCATCTCTCTGGTGAGTCACTGAGAAGGATGCGGTCATGAGAATCATGACCAGGGAAACTATTGGACAAAGACTCTTTAATCCATCACTTCATGAATGGAGCCGGGGCGCTTCGGTTCAATGATGAAGAACTCTGAATAAGGGAATGACCTGCCTTTGTTAGACTTATCTCCGGGCACTGGGCAGCTTGCCGGTAACCGGAGGATTGTGTGTTTGGGTTTAATTGTGTTAGCACCCTCCCACATATCCTCCCCTGTGCGTCTTCTGTCTAGTCCCTTAATCTCTGCTGTTTGTCTCTGTGATAAGTGATATCCCGTTTCGATCACGATGGATTGTTTATGCCCACCTGATGAGAAGAAGGCTCTGCAGTGGCCCGATGGACCCCACCTTATTTATAGCGCTGGAATCTGATTAGACTGTTTGTGAAAGCCCAAGATACCTGTCATTTTGACTCCATAATCATCTCATTCTGAAGTGATGCATTGATGCTTTCAGACAGAGTCTTAATTAAGATGCAAGCCGTCAATGAGCGAGGGATGCAGATATATTTTCAGTGAATTGTTTGTTGCCAGACATTGAGAGTTAAATGTCTGAGGATTTATGTTCCCCTGGACCAGTAAAGCCAACAGCTAGCCTATTTCATAGAAGGCTTTAAAAACCACTTGGACCATGTCACACGAGATAACAGTGATGAATGGTGAAGGGACATTATTTCCTGATATTACTTTCCCAGAGTTTCACTGTAGAGCACTGGAGCGAGAATCGCCTCTTTACAGAAAGCCAATGGCGTCAGGCAATTTTTGGTTTATCGAGAACATTTAAAAGGGGTCATATCATGAAGAATCAAACAATTATTGATCTTTTGATTGCAATTTAAAAACATTCATAACTTCCTCTGTTGTGAAAAAAGACAATTTATTAGCACTAAGCTGAAAAAAACTTTTTCTGTTACTCATTGAACATGTGAAAGTGAAAAAATCTCTTTTTACCCATAAATTCTAAGAATCAGAGAAAGAGTGGAAAATTGTGGAAAAATATATATAAATGGACCTCGGGGAACAGAAATAACTGTAAAAAATGCATGATATGGTGCATGATATGACCCTTTTAAACAGACTAGAGACGTGTATCAAAGAAAAATATGTCTGATAAGCAAGATTCTGTGAGACATTTACCATACTAATTATTTTGATAAGTTTTCAGAGACATTCTGGCGTGAGAACTTGTAGCACTGTGAGTTCTGGGGCAGCTTTCAAATGGACGCTTCAGTATGTTTATGTCACACTCTAAACAACAATTAAACTCAGCTCAGGGCCACATTTCATGTTTGTGTTAATAACCATTCAGATCAGATGAGGTACATATTTGATTACGATGGAGATAGAGATAAAGCCACAGTTTTAGTTGATCTCAAAAGAATCTAATTTGCATTGTTTTAGCAAAACCCACATAAGGGGATGTCAAAATGTTTGTCATCCCTAATACAAGAACAGGATCTCCAAGAGAGAATAGTCTTTGTTTATTTGCTCATTTAAAGCTAAGTCCACTCTGATTTGTGTGTTTTTTTAGATGTAATCTTGTTACTCCAGTGCTAAACACACACACACACACACACACACACACACACTTCAGATATGTTTTATCTGCATAGCTGCTGAAAACAAACAGATACGTTTCTTTAATCCAAGGCAAAGTAAAGACAAGCAGCTTTTGGAATTGTTTTGCTAAACCATTTCAGAACTATAACTCAACTGTTCTTTTTCTGAAAAGGGGGAGTGCAATCAAAATGCTTGACAGCATATTAATATGTGAGCAATTGAGTCAAACAAGACAGACTTGCCTCACTGTTGGAATGATGAATAATATTGTGACAGATTTATGATTTTATGTTTCCCCTGAAACAGAATAAATGGATTGTCAGCTATTATGAAATCTGCCCAATTATGGGAATAGAAAAATGTCATAATTAAAATCAATCATTCACCAATAGCAGCTAAAAGAGACCAAAAACATATTTTCATGCTCACACATAATTTTTCATCAGCCATGGGAATGCTTTAGTTTAGAGAAATATATCATCAGATCAAACATTTTTATAATAAACATTTTAATTCATAAAAAGGAAGAAAAAACAAGAAAAACAATGGTAGTGCTTGAATGTTTTAATTCGTTCAAAGCATCAGTGCAATTTTACCATTGTTATCAAACAAACAATGTGTTTTCATAATTTGAAATAATTCATAATTTGAATTTCTATAAGTGCCAATGGTAGATATCATGAAAATGACAGCATGGTACGAAACTTTCATATAGGCCTACACAAATATATATTTTTTAAGTGTAATGGATGAAATATTTTTAGATTTGCATTAGAAACAATACATTTGGGACAAATATATTTAAGAGTAATAATGGCTTAATGAGATACATATTCAAATATCCTCTCTTGTAATTAGGACAGAATATTTACAGGTCATTTAAATAAATAATTGGCTGCAATGATAAATAATACTTTCCTTAAAACTCATAATATAAAAAGCAAAGCTATTAAAAAACTACATTTTTAAAGCATTTAACAAACATAAATTATGGTAAAAAGCAAAAAATATTTTATTATTATTATTATTATTAATAATTATACTGTGGAAATGGAAATGACAGAAAATAAAAACAATGACAGTTAATTGCAATGATTTGAAGGCACTTCCTTGGAAAAAATAATTTACTCCAACATCTCTGGAGTTTCTTCTTTTACATCCTCAGGACCTGTGGCACATAAAGAATTATGTGTCAAATTATTAATTTATTACACATTACACATTAAAGTTTACTTTTCATTTAAATCAATACTTTTAAAACACAGTTACAGTTAGAAAGGTGTATGAAGAAGACAGCATACGAAACTAAGTTCCAGCAACTCAACCTGTCATACACAGAAACAATGAACTTCAGACTTGAATGCATTACTCTCCACTTGAATGGAAATCACTTATTCACATCATAAAAGACAATTTAACCGTTTCTAATTGATTCAAAGGAAAACCAGTCTGAGCAAGAGTAATCATAACCCAATAAAACACCGTAATTCACCAGCCACATCATTTGACATTCAGACTGGTAATGGATTCTTTCACCTTTCACTAACAGGTTCTTTAAAAGTCTCATTCCACAGCTGTCATGCTGCCGATGATGTCGCAGGAGCGTCACAGTTTGGTCTTGAACTATTTTGAATATGTTTCTAAGAATTAAATGAATAATGTTTGATTCTTTTACACACAAGCTCTGACTGACTGTCAAGATTGTGATTTCATCGTTTTATTATACAAATCTAATATACAATTATTAAATTGTACAATCTACCAGGAAAAAATTACAACACAAGCCAGAAAACATCTGCTATAGATTTAAGTGCACAGCTTTTTATCAATACAGACATACAAATCAGTTTCTTTAAGTCGTTATACATTTAATTGCCATTTTAATTGCAAGATAGACTCTTGAGTAACTTTGTCACATCACTTTGTGTATAATTTCTTCAAAGTGGTTGGTTCAACTATGGAAATGTGTTACAAAGCACCAGATGGCCATGATTAAACTGACATTACATCTTACTCAATATTTCTTCGAAGGTTTCAGTTAAAAAAGCATGCGAAACGTTCCCAACAGTAACTGGGAGCAGGCTTGACTATCATATTACAAATGTTGCAGTTGTCTTGTTTCAGAAAATAAATAAATAATGTTATATGCATGTATATAATTATGAAATATTCATAATGTTGTTATATATTATATTACTTTTACATAAATGTTTTTAATATGCATGATCATGTCAAAATTATATGGATTGAATAAAGAAATTTAACAGATTTTCCACCTTGGTTACAAATAACTAGTTAAAAACAGCTAAAAACGTTGTACTTACATGCGGTTTCTATGATTGTGTGCAAAGGGGACTCATAGCTAGCCTTGTTAGCAATCGTGCACATCTTTTATAATCTGTTGGGGACAAGAAAAAGAAAACAAGGAATTTTTACTTTCAGAACGTTAAACAGGCATTAGCTATGTTAGCATTGAGAACAAAATCGTCACTTCCTGGGAAATTGCTGCAAACATTTGTGATAAAAATGATAGTTGCTGCAATCGGGGAAGCCACTATGGCTCTTTTTTCCCACTGAATCAGAATCAGAATGAGCTTTATTGCTAACGCATTCAAGGAATTTCTCTTGATGACAGAAACTTCTATGTACAGTATGTACAGATATGTTATACAAATGCAAGGGAATGTGAATAAGAGGTATGGTATTCTAAATAAATTTAAGTATGAATAGTGTTGTATTGCACATGTTTATTGCCCATTGTTTATTGCATTTAACTGCCCATGAGGTAGATGGCCCAAGGAAAGAAACTTTTCTTGTGCCTGGCTGTTCTGGTGCTCAGGGCTCTGTAGCACCGTACGGACGGCAACAGTTCAAAGAAGAAGTGGCCTGGATGTGAGGGGTCCAGAGTGATTTTGCCGGCCCTTTTACTCGCTCTGGATGAGTTCAGTTCTTGGAGAGTAGGGAGGGGTATACAGATGATCCTCCCAGCAGTTCGGACTATCCGCTGTAGTCTTCTGAGGTCTGATTTGGTAGCCGAGCCGAACCAGACAGTTACAGAAGTGCAGAGGACAGACTCTGACTGCAGAGTTGAACAGTCAGAAAGCTGGTGATCCACTGGTTAGTTTGATCTGGAGGAGTGTTGGATTGACGGTGTTGAAAGCCGAGCTGAAGGATCTTCACATAAGTCCCTAGTCTGTGGAGATGTTGCGGGACGTAGTAGAGTGCCATGTTGACTGCATCATCCACAGATAGACCTGTTTGTCCGAAAGCAAACTGCAGGGGGTCCAGCTAGGGTCCAGTGATGTCCTTCAGGTTGGCCAGCACCAGTCTTTTAAATGACTTCATGCTGGTGAAATGTTTCTGGAAGACTCGGTATACATCCTCTTCATAGATCGTAAGTGCAGAAGGGAGGGATAGTGGGATGGCTGAAGGTGTTGATGAATACATGGAGAGAAGGTCAGAACAGGTGTGGGGTGTAAGACCGGGTTTTTCAAACCTGCAACAAAACTAATTTAGGTCATCAGCGAGTTGGTGATTCAACACAGTGCTCAGGGATGGTGTCTTGCAGTGATGTATGTCTCGAGACCACTTTTACGTGGTCTCGGTCTTGTCACGGCCTTGACGGTCTTTGGTCTTGGTCTTGTCTTGGTCTCGGACCTCTCGGTCTTGTCTAGGTCTCTCTGTCTCAGATCGAGACAGTGGTCGGGGGATTTAGCAATACAATACTACAATATCCACGGCGATATCCGCAACGGATTGAAGTGCGCGTCCGAGTGAAGACAAGTGCGGTGTGCGCGAGCCACACGAGAAAACACTGTATCCACGCCACTGATCGCAGCAGCAACGAGCACTTTGATCACTTGATTTAAAAAAACACATTGGCCTATCATGTACAGTTTTTGATGTATTAATATTTAGTAAAACACATATCAGTGACATGATGGGTTTTAACTTCATTCAGGAGATTTTGGGTAACTGCACAGCACAACTGACAGATGACATTGAGCGCACCGCCAACGGTGTGTGTGTGTGTGTGTGTAACCATAGCGACAAAACGACCAACTTTCGGATCCTGCACTTAAGCCTATAATTTCGTTTTTAAATATATAATTATGTATTTAAAAGTTGCAAAATGTATTCATTTGGAGACTTCGAAATCAGCAGAGATAGGCAGGCAATGCAAAACAAAATCTTACAAGTTATTACTTAGCTTCAACACTGTCTGTTTTTTTCCCTCCGGTCTCGACTTGGTCTTGGTCTCGACTTGGTCTTGTCTTGGTCTCGAAACCCTCTGGTCTTGGAGTGTCTTGGTCTCGGTTTAGGCGGTCTTGACCACAAGTCTAGTGTCTTGTATTTGGTGATGTCTTTCAAGCCTGATGTAGGTTTGTTGGCTGAAAACTAGGGTTTTAGCTTTTTAGAGTAGTTTCTCTTAGCCACTCTGATCTCCTTTGTCAGAAGTACTGTACATCATAAATGACTTTGGTCTCAGAGCGTGAAGATGAAATGCAATAAACACTGTCATGTTATCTTGCGTTCGGATGCCTGGTGTTTGGGAACGCAATCATGTGAGGCACTTCTGGGAGGTCATTATACCAAATTATTCTGATGACAGAATTTGGCTTAGGCATTTCAGAATGATCAAGCCAACATTTGAGATGCTGTGCAATGAAATTGCTCCACTGATTAGTCCAGTTATCCAATCACATCCACCGTTGAGGCAAAGACAAAAGTTCTTTTGTTGCGCATCGAGGGATTTATATTGTAAATGTGTTTGTATGCGTCTTCTTACCGAATAAAAAAATGATCCACCTAATTTGAGCGCTTACATTTTTTACGCACATTTTCAAAAAAAATTGCGCATCTTGGAGTTTCCATCTGCCGTTTTTTTATGCGATATCCCAAAATGCATATAAAAATAGGTGGATGGAACTGTAGCTAGTGATACTCTGGCTTGTGCTGTGACATGAAGCAAACGTCACCACTTCAAACGCACTGATGAAATTCAGTTTTAAGTGGGGCTCTCATACCATCACGGGATGATGTATACAGTATATGAACATGGCTAAGGGTTAGATGGATCCCTGTAAATAGCTTCATCTCTGCCCCAGTAATGTACTTGATGGCCTAAAATGACTGTGTGGGTTCAAGCACCACATGCTTCCACCCTTAATGGTGTTTGTGAAGTCTAAACATCCCATTGCTGTCCTGTTCCAAGCACTGTTAGCGTCATTTTCTCTCAAAGGTACTGCCACGTTTCCCTCCCTCTCCTTTAAAAGTGACATTTCAAAACAGAACTCAAACACTAATGTATCTTAAAAGGATATGGCATTGGAATGGCTATAGATTTACTGTTACCGTACATGAAAACTTAATGATGTTTTATCATATGAACTCGTGAATAAGTTTACTACAGTTTAGGAAGCATTTAAGTCATAAAAATTGTTTTTGAAGGCAGAATCTCTGATTTCGCTGTGAATAATTATGCTTTTTGCCATTCCCAGTGTTCCTCATGGCTGCCAAGTGCTCAAATACACCTGGTCGGTTATGCATGAACAAAGCTCACCGTACCAAATAACATCTCATTGTTATACATATGCTTCACTTTCTTTACTACTACTTGCAATAATTCATAGATCCTTTTTTAGAAAAGAAATATCCACAATATCTAAGGCTGAATTTCACAACCCTTCTTTCTCTAGTATGGAGAACAACAGAGGAGGGTCATGGAGCAAGTTCACAAAACATCTCTGGCCACTAACACGGGTATTTTTTCTTTAAAAAAACCCAAACACTTAAACAACCAATGTCTAGGGGAAATAAGGCAACTATTGTGACCCAGAATATAAATTTGATCATCATTTTGGCCAACTAGTTTGTCTCTTTTTTGTGAAATATAAAATTGAGTACAGTTAAAGAATAAGAGATCTGATTAGTTTTGACATTTCTGCTCTCTATACAGAGTAACACGATGGATGGTCCATTAGATGAGCGTTATTTATTGGAAAAATCTAAATCTCTCCTGAACGCCACAAAGTCCATGAGGACTAAGGGTGGAGGAGCATTTTCGTTGCGGTGTAACGCCCTGTCAAAACATTTTGTTTTACTTAAGACAAATAGAAACATAGGCAGCATTTATATAGACTCTATAAAACACAAGCACATACATATACAATGAAAAGAATTTGCTGTAGAAAATATTCAAACTGCAAGTAACAATTAATTAAACATGAAATTTTTAAATAGAAAAACTTACTCCAATTATCTTTCTTTTATTTACTACTTTTACATTGTATCCAGCATAATACAACATAATCAATTAAGGTCATGGCAACATAATTCTATGTCTGCAGGGAAACATGTCATGTATTTTACCCAAAATGAAGATTCTGTTATCATTTACTCATGCTCATATCATTCCAAACCTGTATGCATTTCTTTCTTCTGCCGAACACAAAAGATATTTGAAAAATGTTGGGGTCCAAACAACATTGGACCCCATTTACTATGGACAAAGAAATACTTTTTTTTGTGTTCCGTAGCAGTAAATAATCATCCAGGTTTGAAATGACATGAGCGTAAATGATGACATTTTTCATTTTTGGGGGAATTATCTTTTTAATATTAAATATATATACGTACATGTCGGTCTGGAACAATCCCTTGTGTTGTGATAAATTCTATGGAAATGTGTCCTGCATTCAGATGGAAACTTGACTGGTCCTGCTTGAAAAAAGAAGAAGATTTCAATCATCATAGGTTTTGTGGATTAGATATTCTGGTGAACGAAATCATTCGGCTTTTAATTTCTACTACTACTTAATGTCTACTCAAGCATTATGCCTAATCTCACAAACTCGTAACAAAGAGAATGGTAAAGTAAAGGTGCTGTAAGTGAGTAACTTTTTCACTTATACAGAACCCAGAAGGAGAATTAGTGCATGCTAACGCTTGACATGCCATCACAAGGGCAGAGACTTAGGCCCTGTTTACACGAAAACGATTCCAGGTGAAAACGTAATAATATTTTATCGGATGTGCCTTTCGTTTACACGGCGACGGCGTTTTTGGGGCTTAAAAACGCAAAAAAGTGAAACCACCCTCCAAAGTGGAAATCTTAAAAACGCTCCACCATCGTGTTTCCGTCTAAACGGGTAAAAACGCAAATCTGCTCATGGCGGCTCTCGTCGCGTACGCATTTACGTCACAGGCATGCGCCAGTACAGGAAAATAACAACCAACATGTCGGATTATTTCCATACGTCGGACCTTCAAGTTGCCCTAGCAGCTCTGATAAACGTCCAAGAGTCTTTTCAATTTCGCGCTACTAGGGAGAGAAGTAGAAGGAAGGTTGTACGCAGGCGCACGGACTTGTTGTTGTTGTGTGGCAGTGCTTCACATTGCCACCTATAGCCGCCTGGAGTGCATACTACATGGCATTTCTAACACTTTTGCGTCTCCATATGCACGCAGATTTCCCCCCCCCCATAACGCTCGTCTAAACGCAGAATAAAAAGTGAAAACGAAACGCCACTTTTGCGTTTTCTCTTCAGATCGTTTCCGTGTAAACATGGCCTTAGTGATTCCGATTCTGGCAAAGCCGTTACAAAGTTTCATTGTATAAGCTTCCGGATAACAGATTTTAACACTAATTATTGTAGATGAATAATAACAAAGATTCTGCAATGAATAATCATCTTAAATGTGCTTTTCCTGAAAAAAAAAATTGGCAATTTACCTCAGTTAACCTACAGGCGTAACTTATTTGACTGGATTTATGTTTTATGAGGAAAACTGCATTTTTAATGAGACATTTAAAAACAGGCCTATAATGAGAATAAAGAAAGAGGTACTGAATACTGCACAGAATATAGGCTACTATATACTGCCAACTACTTTTTAAAAGTGAACAGAAGCATTATTTCACAATTATCAAACATTTTAAACAGTAGTATGCTACATTGTTGTCACATGACCCAGCTACATTTGTCAATGTATCAAGTTGCATGCAAGTCAATGAATCATATCTAGTTATTATCTTGGACATTTTTGCAATCCAATTTTGTTAAAATAGCCTAAACTTTTGCCAGTCCAATCAAATGATGAGTCAAGAAAGAGATTTGTTTTAGTGCACTGCATTGTGGGATACAATATTTCACAAAGTAAACATGTGGCAAAGGTAGCAGGTCATATGACAAGGTAAATCCATACTGTGCATGGACCGTATACTATATACACTGCAGAAACAGTAAGAGTATTATATATGCTATTCTGAACAGAGCTGGATCACACATCTCGACCTCATCAACAGGACTGCATGAAATATTTTGTACTAAAAAAGATGAAATATATTGCAATGGGTTTTTGTTTACCTGTAAAATGTTCTATAAATTTGTCTTTCATGCTTATGTCTCTTGGGACAATATCTGAAACAAACGGACAGACAAAAAGACAGTGTTAATGTTTTTGTGTTAATGTTTCACCCCTGCCTATTCAGTAAGGCTCATATACGGCTTCATCGACACCAAACCAGAAATGTGTTCTTTAAACTCATAAAATGCTAGATATTATTTAGCAATTTGACCATTCTGAACTGAACTGAATTAAGCAATTGATACTTTGGGTTAAACTGAAGCAGTTTGAGAAACATAGAAGCTGCTATTGCATGTAGCTTGATTTGGAGACATTTTATGGATGAAAATAAGAAAGAGCACTGTATTTTTGTGGAGTAGTTAGAGTAAAATTTGCCACTGTATATGGAGAAATACTCCACAACAAATTGTCTCATCCAAATCAAACTTTACATATTTTGTTTTCTTTTCTTTAAAATAAATCCTGTAATTAGTTGTTTCATTAATTTAATCTGGGACAGTATACATATATATTTTAATTTTACAGTTGTAATTTTAAAATCTGTTTTATAGGTATAACAAAACAAAATGTAAATGTTCCATGCTGCTGCATGGAAAATACTTGAGTATCCCTTTGGGTAAGTGTTAAATGAGTTAAACAACACAAAGTCTCTGCCAACTAACATACATTCGCTATTCATCACATCTCAAATGGAAAATGAAGACTTTTTTTCGCTGATATAGGCTATAAAAAACACTGCTGGTATATTAACGGATGTGATTCAGTGTATTTAGTCTGGGAATGATTATGTCATCAACTTGCGTCCAGCTCAGGCACTGAATACAATCTCTAGCACATGGCTTGAAGTCATTGTACAAGACTGTTACCTTAGCTATCTATAAAGAGATATCCCACTGACTTCTATTATTAGTGAATTTAATAAAGACATCCTTAATGAACCATTTGTCTTATTAATGACCTCCCCAAAACGTTTGCAAAACTGAAAACATTACTTTAATTTGCAGCGGTCCACAATGGTAATTTACAGACAGTCTTGTAAATACTATTGATATAATCTGTCACATCTCAAACTCCTAAAAGCTTGTAGTGTACAAATGTGCAACAACCTTTTGGAAAACTTCCCCTCTTAAGATGATGATATGACTGATTACAGTCATATACGTCATGTGTTTGTCTGTGGTCACTACATGCTTGATATAATAAAGATGGACTGCCCCATTCAAAATATACAATAAATCCCAGATTGATAATCCAGCACTCAGTAAATCAGCTTGAGGCTTGGGGTCCTTGCTAATTATGTACAATCTGTGGCCCGCCCGACCCTGGGATACTTGTCCCCACATGTAGTCTATATCACTTCCAGCCTATTGGAGTAAGGAGATTATTGCATGCAAAGTTGTAATGCCTATCAATGTCAGGTCCACAAATCCATGCAGCAGCTAATTTTAACCTGTCTCAGAACAGGATAACCAAGACTGCGTTATGAATGAGTTCCTCTTTCATTCAAAATACAGCAGTTTTCTACATTTATGATGCCTACAGATTCTTCTATTGTGGCCTGTGGGTCATGCTTTTCCCATTTTTAATAAGACAATCATGGTGATGATGATGATGCATTATCAAACAACTATTAATATAATTACGGGTCCATACGCATGTTGTCGCACCTGAGTCTTAAGATGACTAACGGGCTAATGGGCTGTTCTATTCAGAAGGCTACAGTGCAGTTTGGATTATACAAAAGTCCCATGATATCAGGATCAACTCACATTTAAAAACTAGCATGTTTTCACTGGATTAAAATCAGTCTCATTGAAAAACTTTAAAGGCAGTAAACTCAATCAAAGTTCATCCAGATCAGCAATAGCAGATGTTTATGGGTGTAATTCTTTCTTTGGCACACGACTTTTGTGTAACAACGCACGTCAATCATTTTTGTAATTTTTGTTTATGGCTAAGACATTTAAATAGACAATTCTGAATCAGCCCAACCAGAAAACTGTCACTGTAAAAATGTAATAAAATCCGTGAAGAAACTATGTAATAGCACAATACAGAAACAAGTTAATCTCTATTTGAGTATAATGATCAATTCTCAAGGGTATCAGAAATGCTAAAAATGCCTCTAAACACACCACAAGTCAGCTACTATAACATGTCATGACAAGGAACATTCAGTAGTTGCAGTAAATGTAATGATCTACTAAATGATCATGATATTTACTAGTCCAGGCTTCACAGCACAAATGGTAACACTCTTTTGGCAACTACAATGAGTACTTTGAGTATTATTATTCCAGCTTCCATTACATACAATTTGTACAAGTCATTTTAATTGGGTTCAATGAAAGATTTCAAAGGTATCAAATTATGTCAGATATAACTAAAGTTATTATGCATGAGGCAAATTTTAGGCAGACAAAATAGTCTTACATGGCTGAAATGCAATCAGGTTTTTACCCACAAAATGCAGGTCATCAGCACAGTAGTTTTCTAATGGCACACATGATTTCTCAAGCTTTTAAACTTGTCTTTAAATAGTCCTTAGATCTTCACCGATGATTTGAGCATTATGTGATCTGTCTAATAAGACCATGAACATTCATGTTTTACCCTCTGCAGATCAAAAGAGTGTCCCTTAATCCAATTTCATATCATTTTTTCTGGATTTTTCACAATGACCCCACAGGTTATATGTTGCTGTCACTGCAATGCAATCAAGACTATGTAAGACAAGACCGTTATGAACAGCTGTCCATGCATTACGCGATTAAAGCATTAAAAGTGCAGTTGGTATGCAGGCAAAAACTCCCACTAACAGGAAGTAGTTAATGCCCAGGATTACATTTGTATCATCACCTGATCTCAAATCAGCTTACCTATTGGTCTGCTGTTGTCCGGCTTGGACAAATGTGCAGTCTTTTCACGTGAGGAAAACTTAACATCTTGAGAGACAGAGTAGAGGCCACTGGTGATGCGTCTGGACGCGGGCTTGTCCCTGATCACTTGCAGGATTAGATTAAGAAGAGTTTTCCTTTCCGTCTCCTTCACCTCCTTGCTGTCCATGCACTGGCTGGAGGTGATGAGCAAAAGAATCATACTCAACAATATGTGCCATCTCTTCTCAGCCCGCATGGCTTTCCAGCCTGATAAACGAACAAAACAAGCGAACATTGTCATTATATCCTCGTACCAAAAGTTCTACGTGCGTAAAACACGCATTCAGACGGCAAAGCAGTGGCGCAGTGGTCCTGCGTTTACGCAGTAGATTCGAGTCCGACCTATAAGTCACGACCTGCAACACTCCTTACAGTAAATAAAGCATAAATAATTAAATAAAACTCCCCTAAGTTTTTAATAAAACGCCGACTAAATGTACATGAAATTACCCAAATTCAACTATTTCGCACTGTATAGCATGTTTAAACTTTGAAATCAGAGAAACAATTCAGTTCACTTTACTATAATTATACAGTTTGTACTCACATAAGCAAAATAAATAGCAACTTACGCGATTATATAGCCTATTGGTAGGTGCTTGTACTTCTAATGATGCGGACGCAAAGTTGTCAGAGAAAAATATATCCTCCAACAGTTTCTGCTGTCTCGTGTCTTTCTTGAGAACATGCGTCTTGTTTTTATACGTCAAGTGCGAAGCTTCTTGAATGTAATACAATCGATTTCGGGTGGGTGGCAAATGTAGACATCTTTCTCTTAGGTTTTTTTCTCTCTTCTCAACTCGTGGTCAGTTCCTTTGACATTCGCCCCTCCTTTCGTTTTAAATTCATCACAGAAGTTCAGATAACTATAAAAAGTGTCTCAAAACTCCTCTCTGAGGTTTATTAAAAGAATCATAGCTGGCAGAGAGCTGGACGCGTAATTGTCCTCGGAGATATCCATCGCGCCACGTCCCCCAGGGAAATGATGGGGAACCTCAAGTATCCATATATCCAAATATACTCGCTTAAATGTAGCCGAGCTCTGAAATTAACGCCTGGATGTTTTTGTTCATGGATGGCCGGGTCTTGTGACTGCACTAAGCGCGCTATCCTGGTAAGCCCTGCTTGTTTCCACCTCCCAACTATATAGTTTGCACTTGGCTTTGTGCTGGTATTACACGCTTAACGCATACATTCCAGGGTTCTTAACTTGTGTATCTCTACAAGTAAACGCAATCAATAGTCTAATTGGAATGATATTAAGCAGGGCGAATATTTTATGAATGATCACATTGTCTCAATCTGTTCTCATAGTCGAACCTTGGTTATTTCTTTAAGCTTCTTAATATTTCTCTGTAGCCAGCCCCCCCATCCCCATGGGGGTCTGTGAAGGTCCTGCAGGGGTCATGTCCTGGAAATCTGGCCACCCTTCAAGTTTGATACAGTGTGTGTTGGTAATGATGTGTCATGGTAATAACATTTTACACTTTCGGGGGAATGAACTGCTAAATTAACCTCGGCTTATATTAATTGCAAAATATATAATAAGATATATAATTTAAATTCTAAAATGTTGACTCACTTCTCATTTACATAACAGAAAAATCATTCATTTTATTATAAGTTATAATTCAGAATGCATACTACTATAGCCTAAAATAAATAAAAATGCACATAAACCAATCAAATGTACGTGTTTACAAAAAACAACCAAACAAACAGACACTAAAAATAGTTTTAAGCTGTTATAATATAGCCTTTAAAACTAGAATTGGTGCCATTAATGATCTATCCAGGGGATCCCTAAAAGTTGAAAACACCTTCTCGGTTTGATTTATTTAAGTACAAAGTCAAAAGGCACAATTTCACACAGCTCTTGCTGCTCTTACAGGGATGTCACTGAACCTGCTCCTCATATGGGAATTTGAAGGAAGCAGCATTTTCCTCTCTTGACATCAAGATGGCTTCATGCTGACATTAGGAACATAAAAAAAAAAGATTTTCAGTTACTTGAAGTCACTTTTGCATGAGTAGCCTACATTTTAAGCTATGCTTTACTTTTAAAGTAACCATTTAACTTTACATATTAAAGTGAACACGTAATCAGTGCCATGATACCCTTTAACCTAATACCAAAAACATGATTATTGGAATGCAGTAGCCTAACGTTACTTACCACCACCATTGGATCGTTCTTAATACATAGCTACTTTCACTGTGTGTTTGAAAGAAGGATTGCCCAATGTTTTTATGCAGTGTATTTAACGTCAAGTTCCCAGCCTGTCAGATAGAAAAGGCAATGAATAAGGACGAATACAAAGATCATCACTGATAACGTCAGATTACTGGCGGGACATTTGAACCTCCAGCAGACGCGCACGAGAGATGGTTCACCTCATGATGACACACTTGTGATTGGCATTGGCTGAATGTTAAAGTAACTAATACCAGAGAACACGTGCAATATGTTTCAAAAAAAGTGACAGAATCACCGTTATCTAAAAGTTGGTTCTGCTACGCCCCAGATAATATGTGGTATTAATGCCTTGTTATGCCTCATGAGTCACGAACTCTCCTCGCCGGCTATAAAAAATATTGTGCTTGGCGCCATCAAGCGGTGTTTTCTTAAACTACATGTAGGCCTTCCACAAAAGCTTTAACTAGCAAAACTATTTACTTAAAGGCTTTAAGTAAATAGGTTTGCTTAAAGCATTTTATTTTTATGTAATAAAGATAATTCTTGAATTTAACTCTGTGTATCTAAATGTATGTGTATATATATATATATATTATATATATATATATATATTTTTTTTTAAAGGGTATTAAAACCCTTTCATGCATGAATTATGATAACCTCAGTCAGGATTTTTTCCCTATGTGTTTTTATTGCTCTTAGGGCATGAAAAACAAGATTTGATTTTTTTTTTTTTTTTTTTTTTTTTTTTTTACACATTTTCCAAAGAGATTTTCAGGTGTCCACTTGTCTTGAGTGGACAGCCTGCATTTATGGTTTAAACTGAAGAGATACTATATTAAATATAATACAATAATGAAACAGATAAAGTATGTGTATTTAACAAACTAATCAATACAATTATATCAAATCATGTGAAAACTATAAAATATATACAAAAAATATAAATTCAAATTTTTGCAAATGCAATTGAACTTCATACAAGTTGCACTTCGTGTATCTTTGATATCAGAACATGAGGACGTGATTCCATCAGAAATTTCTACAGCCTGTCAAGGTACAACAGTGGAAACCACTCAGATGCTCCCTCCAGTGTGCCAGAGTATGTCAATTTACCTTTATTAGCTGATAATTCTGATTATGTTCAAGATAGACACATTTCTAGCATAGGCCTCTTCTGAGAAAACCTAGCGATACGTATTTTTCAATCTCATCTGAAATTAGCAGTGTTGGGGCATGCATAACGCATTCAGATTACTTTTTTGATGTTACAAGTAAAGTAATGTGTCACAAGTAACGTGCATTACATAATCAGATTTGTTTTAATGTTACGAGTAAAGTAATGTATTACAAGTAACATGTATACCTAATCAGACTTTTTGATCCAACAAGTAAAGTAATTAATTACAAGTAACATGCATTACGTAATCAGATTACTTTTTGGTGTTACGAGTAAAGAAAAGCATTACAATATAGTACATTACGAAATCAGATTACTTTTTGATCTAACAAGTAAAGTAATGCATTACAAGTAACATGCATTACGTAATCAGATTACTTTTTGATGTTACGAGTAAATAAATGCATTACAAGCAACATTCATTGCGTAAACAGATAACTTTTTTATCTAACAAGTAATGCATTACATAATTAGATTACTTTTTTGATGAAATGAGTAAAGTAATACATAAGTCACATAAATTATGTAATCACATAACTTTTTTCGATGGCAATGAAATTAACATTCTAATAATACAAATACATTTATTTACAGTAAAAAAAAACGTCACTGCAGATTAAGTATTTTCAAAAACAATATTCACATTATAAGTATGAATTGTAGCTGAAATATAGCCATTGATGCATGAGGTCCACTATAGTGGACAGTGATTAATCAGATTTTTCTCCCAATCTAAAATCAAAACTTGGAAAATTTTACTGTCATATGACTCATTAGATATTGCTTGATGCTGCAATATTTTTTTTTACCTACAAGAGTCTCCTAGGATAGAAGGAATGGGTGGATATTCCGGAGCAACTTGGCATGTCTGACTGACCATTGGCCATCTTGGTTTGGAGGGGGAAAACCTCGAAACACAACGGCTTGCAACTTGGTTGCAATGTATAGGATGATGCACCAGGGTCCACTGAAGAGATTGATGTGCAACTTTGCCATCAAAACACTTGCAAATTCAAGAAAATGCTTTTTTAATAGCTGTCCACTGTAGTGACCACTATGCATGAAAGGGTTAATGCCTCGTGAACTTTCCTCGCCGGCTATAAAAAAATATTGTGTTTGGCGCCATCAAGCGGTGTGTTCTTAAACTACATGTAGGCCTAATAGCCTATCGCCTTTCCACAAAAGCTTTAAGTAAATAGTTTTGCTTAAAGCATTTTATTTTTCGTAATAAAGATGGTTCTTGAATTTAACTCTGTGTATCTAAACGTATATTAAATACTGATTTAAATCGACAGATTTTCCAACCGCTGCCTGCACACAAGAGTAGCTGCACATGCCATTCGTTAGGTGTTTCATTGTTATTTTTTCCCTTTTTTTTGTAAGGTGTTTCTTAAATCGCCTCGTTCGCATTTGGGGCTAATTAGTTTGTACTAATTCTACTGTTATTTTTTGGTCCCACCACTTGTTCTTCCAATTGAAGGCAGAACTTAGCTATGACGTTTACCTTTTTACCTTCAAGAACCCTTCAAATTTATAAACAAGTGGTGTTGAAAATTTGGCCATTTCAGTTCTGTCTTGTTTGTTGCAGTTGGTGTTTCAATTTATTATGGTCATCGGTAATAAATTATAGATTTACACTATTATATTATATTAATTATATTATATAATATAATATTATATTATATTAAAGGGAATGGAATAAATACGGATACAACAAACTATACAAATTATATTTTATCTGATCGTATTTATTTGTTTATTTTTAATTTTATGTAAATGCCAACATCATCATGTGTACAGGAATGATGCATGTTGGGTAAACAAAACCATGGGTAAAACGTTGATGTAATTCATACCCGTTCGACTTCCGTTCTGCGTAAGCGTTACCGTAGAAACAAGTTGACAACAACTTTCAGCCAAGTTAGTCAGACGTGCACACGAATGTCTGCTGTAGAAATGTGTTTATTTCAAGATTCACTTTACTTGTTTTCGGAAGTGTTGTTCTAGCTGTAAACTTCATCTTTAACTCAGAAAAATTGATGTTTTAACTAACGTTAGCTACAGCTGAGTCAGACTTGAACATCCTGCGATTCGAAGGAACCGTTTAGCGAGTTTTATCAAACGATGTCGCACAGGTTTGTTGGCTAAAGTCATAGTAAATGTGCTTTCAAATGTGATTTCAGGGAAATATTGTTTCAAAAAATGAAATTGTCGCAGTCTTGCTATGAATTTAGCACTATATTTTGTAAAATCTCTGTCAGTAATTCTTAATATTTTCAAACGTAAACATTAGCCTATGTTTTATCTAAGTTTAAGATAATGTTTAATTTTATTAAATGATTAATACCTTAGCTTGTTCACAACAATCCAATGAGTAAGACACAGTTTACCTCCAGCAGCACATACAATAAACTCTGGTCTGAAGCTCACGAGGAGCTCAGCTGTTTGTTGGACCAAGAACTCCCAGACGAACCTCTCCGCCCTGAGAGAGACAGAGTGGTGTTCTTCCAAAGGATTGCCACCTTGTACGTCCGCTATGCTCAGATCTTCAGGCAGCTGGACGAGGCCTATGACCAAAGTGTTCACCCCCAAAAGAGGCGTGCGATTAGGCAGGTGCTGGAGGGTGTGATGGGTCGTGTTCTGGAGCTCAAGAACGAAATGGTGGAAAAGGAATTTTCAGAGTACCACTACATGGATGACATCATTCAAGACCTGAAATTAACCCCTGTGAGTTTGACTAGATTGTAACGTATGCTATAAACAAATTTAGAAGTGTATTTAATCTATAAATCATCATTTCAATCTCACATTTGTCAAAGGAGGACCTTGAGATTCCAATTCCCAGGTATTTCATTCACGAGCGAAACAAAGTGCTGCAGGACAGAGAAAGATTGTTTGCTGCTACATTAAACCAAATGGATGTTACAGAAAAGACAGTAGTAAGTTAAATAGCTTGTTTCATCATAAACGAAAATAATTGGATTGTTTCATACTCTAACATGACTTCTCTTGTCTCTCCCAGCCTAATGTAATGCATATGTTGACTCTGGAGAGGGCCATTAAAGTCATCCAAGTGGCTGAAAGAGCACGGCAAGGCCGACTGAGGGCAAAATTCATGAGGGAGATCCATAAAGACTCTGAGAGACAGAAGAAAGCTGACGAACAAGAGTCAGTAAGCACTGACCAGGCTGCAGTTTGTATCCAGAAGGTACAATATACGATTGTGTCAACACAAAATAGTTATAATTTAGTTAATATATAACTATTAGGAATGCAGTACATAATTGAAATCTCTATTTAGGTGTGGAGAGGCTTCATGCAAAGGAAAATGACAAAAAGGCTGCGTGAAGAGGAAATGATATTTCTTGGAATGGTAAGATATTGTGTACACTACTGTTCGATAAGTTTGGGGTCGATAAGATTTTATAATATTTTTGAAAGAAGTCTCTTATGCTCGCCTAGGCTGTATTTATTGGATCAAAAATACAGTAAAAAGAGTAATATTGTGAAAATATATCTACAATTTAAAACTGTTATCTAGTTTAATATTTTTTAGAATGTAATTTATTCTTGTGGTGGCAAGCATTTTCTTCTGATCCTTAAGAAATCATTCTAATATGCTGACTTAGTGCTCAAAAATAATTTATTATTATCAATGTTGAAAAAAGTTGTGTTGCTTAAAGGGATAGTTCACCCAAAAATGAAAATTATGTAATTATTTACTCACCCTCAAGTTTTTCCAAACCGGTATGAGTTTCGTTCTTCTTCTGAACACAAAAGAAGATATTTTGAAGAATGTGGGTAACCAAACAGTTGATGGACCCCCTTGATTTCTATAGTAAGGATAAAAAAATACTATGGAAGTCAATGGGGCCCATCAACTGACATTCTTCAAAATATCTTTTTTTGTGTTCAACAGAGGAAAGAAATTCATACAGGGTTTTAACATCTTTTGAGTACAAGAATTATGTACATGATGACATAATATTTTTGTGGAAACCGTGATATAATTTTTTCATGAATAGATGAATAGAACAGCATTTATTTGAAATAGATTTTTTGTAACAATGTAAAAGTTTTTTTATGGTCACTTTTGATCAATTCAATGTGTCCTTACTGAATAAAAGTAATCATTTATTTTTTTAAATCTTACTGACCCCATATTTTTTAATAGTTGTGTGTTTACCCTTTATATTGTACTGTACTTTACATGACATGCAAAGCACATTAACAAAGGTATGTGCTTTGTATTGATAGTCATAAATAAAGATTCATTGTGATTCTACAGCTTGACTACAGGTTGAGTATGCCACCAGTAGATGGAACTCTAATACTGTTTCATGTGATTCTATGGCTGTGTCATCTTCAGGCCATGGATCCAAAACTGTCCTATCCATCCCAAAACGAGCTGGCTGCCCAGAACAACAAGGCCAACAGGCACACCAGGCAAGAAGAACATGAGGATGACTATCAGAAGTCCATCGAATCTGTTATTTATCAGCTCAGGGACGTGGAAGGCCCAGAAATGAAGGAGACCATGAAAGATCAGATCAGACAGTGGTTCATAGAGTGCCGGTGAGTGGGATCTCTTTCCAATGTTTGCACACAACCATGAATCACCATAAAATCATATAGATTTATGTCAAACATCACATGAACAAACAGGACTCATTGCATCCGCTTGTCGGAGAAAGGGTTAATAGCAGTATGAACTGAAAGTGATATCTTTGGACTTTTAAGGTAATCAGCTAACCTATCTAGTTTTTTTTGTTTGTTGGCGTTTTAGTGAGAAGAATAAAAATAAAAAAAACTTTTAGATATCAATCTGCATATGTGATGGACATCGGTTATGCTCATCTATGGTTGCTCCTTTGAAGTCATCTTGAGTAAAACAGCTCTATGTTTAACAAAGCACATACAAAAGACCTAAACCGCAAGTGATGCAACCTGTTGTACAGAATACTGAAGTTTGTTGCGTATAACACCCATTACCTTAGGGTTTTACTAAGCATCTTTTAACAACATTTAACATGAGTACTTGTGAATAGTGATGCAACAGGCTCATTTCCTGACTACCCAGAGGAGGAGGATGGAGGTTCAGCTCTTATATTCGCAGAAAAAACACCTGAGGAGGTAAACATGTTCACATAATTAGTACATGTCAATATATGTTAATCTTTGACCAAAAACTCTGTATAGAAAAGGGTCAGAATAATAACATGTTTATGGGATGTTCTTTATCCATGCTGTTTAGTATCATGATCAAATGAATTTGGAATATACCGTGTGAAGTGTTTGTCATGTTTTCATTGACAAAATCTGTCATGTCCATGTCTGGATTGAAGCTGGCTGAAGAACTGGCAGCAAAGGAGGAGGATGATGCCAACAAAAAGCCAAAGGGCAAGGAGGAGATAAAAGAAAAAGGAAAGAAAGGGAATGTCGAAGACGAGGTAAGAATTGAGGAGAGGACTTAAAGTGACAGAAAACCAATGAAAAAAATTGTAAACCGGAAAACACTGAAAAGAACATCACTGAAGGCAGTATGAGTACCAAGTATGACTACTGTACTTCTCATTGAGTGTAGTTTTCCTTGTTTTTTCTGATATTTTACATATTAATGGATTGTCACAGGAGGAAGAGCCTGGACTGAAGATGCTACCATCTGCCTATCTGGCAGATCTTGAGAGGGAATGCAAGACATTTTCTGGCAAGGAAAATTGAAGAATGAAACATTTATGTGTTACAATAACAACATATCAGTGTCAAGAGAGAGGGAGTGACTGTCTCATCTGATCTGCAGAGGTTTGGAAAAACAGAAACGAGTCCAAGAACTTTAGTCAAAGGCACGAGCTGGAGCTGATCAAACAAGAGAAGAGAAAAGAGATTGAAGTGGAAATAAGAAAACAGGTGACTGATGGTTCATTAAATGTCTTATAGCTTGTAAAAGATGGCTACTGGTGTTGAACTGCTCTTCGTGTATGTACTGTTTTTCCTTGGCTGCCGTTTTTCTTTTCAAAGTTTCCTTATGATCATACATTTAAGGCCACATGTTCCTCACAATTATTGTCATTTTTATTAACGTTAATCCTAGCTTTTAGAGACGTTGGTTTTTGTTGCTTGTTCAGGTGGATGAACTGATGAGACAGGAGCTGGCTAATTGGAAGCTGGCTGTGGATAAAGAAAAAAGCGGAAAGGGCAAGGGTGCTGCAAAAGTACAGTAAACCCCTTCTGTTTACATGGATTTATTGAACATCAGAGAGATTGCCTGGATGTCTTATGTTACACATTGTAAATGAAGAAACTGAAAATGATGTTGCCTCTGCTTGCAACACAGGTATTATACTGTCTTTATGTATATTTTGTTTCTGACTACGCAGAAAAAGAAGGCATCAAAAGGCGGAAAGAAGAAGAAGAAGGACAAAGACCTTACAGCCGATAGGTTTTTTTAGTTATTGTTTTAGTTGTTTGAAATTTAGCTTTTGGAAGTTTGGAATTGTCCACCATTAAAGGAATAGTTCATGCCTTTAATTATTACATGTTTCACACCTGAATTGACTTTCTTTCTTATATGAAACACAGAAGGATTAAATTAAAATAATTGTATCGGATGTTCATTTTCATGCCGTATACTGTATGATGACTAAGGCTTTCAACTTTCAAGCTTCCAAAAACACACAAAAGCACCAAAAAAGTGGTCCATACTGTATGACTTTTGCACTTTATTTAAAATACTTTAATATACAGTATAACACACTTTTATGATACTCATTCAATTTCATTACGGAAAAATGCCAGTTGTGTCCCACAAAAGGAAGAAAGTACAGGTATAGGTTACATGAGTGTGAGTACATAAGTATAAAATGAGAATTTAATTTTGTGTAAAGTTTTCCCTTTAGATGGTAAATAAGTGGTCAGATTTTCCTAAAATAAATGAATACTTTTATTCATTAAATTGATCAAAAGTAACAGTTAATATATTTGCAATCATTGCAAAAGATTTCTATTTCACAAACACTATGTTCTTTTGAACTATATTTTGAACGATAACAAAGAAACATTGATAATAATGATAAGAAATGTTTCTTGAGCAACAAATCAGCATATTAGAAAGATTTTTGACACTTATGACTGGAGTAATGGCTGCTGAAAAATGCAGCTTTTAAAAATTTAAATTGTAAAAATACTTCACAACATTACTTTTTTACTGTATTTTTGATCAAATAAATGCAGCCTTGGTGAGCACAAGACACTTAAAAACATTTAAAAAAAAAATCTTACTGCCACCAAACTTTTGAATGTGTATATTGAACTCTATGTTAATCTAACTCTTTTTTTTAGGACCACCGAGTCACTGTTTGAAGAGCTGGTTGAACAAGAATTGCTGAAAAAGGCAGAAAATGTTAAACTAAAAGATTATCTTGGTAATGTTTCAGTTTATGGTGAAAAAAAGAAATAAACATTCCTTCTGTAATGCTTGTTTGGCCCTTTCAGAAGTTTAAATGGGTTCATAAATTTATAAAGGCCTACATGTATATACAATTGGTAATCATACTCACAACCATTATAACACATCTGGACACATCTGCTCTCATTAAAGGTGACTATAGCTACCTTGGCACAACTCTAAGACAGTCTGATATTGAGCCTATGCCGTCATTATCTGATGTTCGGCAAGTTATAGCCCTTTATGCTGTTTTACCATTAGGTGAGTAAATTAATCGCTCTGGATTTACATATTTTTACTTCAGAAATGCCACTTCAACATACAGAACATACATACAAACTTCTTCATGTGTTGGCTATATATGGCCAGCTAAAAAACAACAACAACATTTCCTTGTTCTATACTAGGTTCCCAAGCAGTTCATGAGAAGGCTCCCCTGGTAAAGAGCATCTTGCTAGTAGGGCCATCAGGGGTTGGTAAGAAAATGTTGGTCCATGCAATTTGCCAGGAGACAGGGGCCAATCTGTTCGACCTTTCACCTTTAAACGTTGCCGGAAAATATCCTGGCAAGAGTGGATTGCAGATGATGCTGCATCTGGTGTTTAAGGTAAAGTTTAATTTGATATTGGCCTAAATTTGTGAAACTGGCCTGCTAAGTATTGATATTTTGATGTACTCTGTATTCGGTGCAGGTTGCCAGACTGATGCAGCCCTCTGTAATATGGATTGGAGATGCTGAAAAGATGTTTTACAAAAAAGTACCAAAGGATGAGAAGGAGGTAAGTGTGTAACCTACTTGTGATCTGTTTAGTGGTGAAATGAAAATTAACGAGATGTTTTAATTCTGCATAAACAGTTAGATCCAAAGCGTCTGAAGAAAGATTTGCCCAAAATCCTCAAGTCCATCAAAGGAGAAGATTGTGTTTTAATCGTAGGTACGACAAATGATCCACACAGTGCAGACCTGAAATCCTTGTGCAAATTCTACAATAAGATCATCCTCATACCTCGACCGGACTATGCATCAAGATATGGTAAGCTAATTTTCAGCCATTACTCCAGTTTTCAGTGTCACATGATCCTAAATCCTTCTTATATTCTGCTTTGATGCTTAAGAAACATTTCTTATTTTTATCAATGTTGAAAACAGTTGTGCTGCTTAATATTTTTATGGAACTCATGATACATTTTTTTAGGATTCTGAATAGAAAGTTCAAAAGAACAGCATTTACTGTATTTGTCAGCATGTCACTTTTGATCAATTTAATGCATCCTTGCTGAATAAAAGTATTAATTTCTTTAAAAAACAAATCTTGCTGACCCTAAAGTGTATATCTAAATAATAGTGTATATAATAAGCAAAATGTCAGTGTTTCCAATCATACATCTGCATATTTTCACAGTAATGTGGAAAGAGCTGATAAAAAAGAATGGAGGAGAATTGACCAGCGTCCTGGACCTCAGTTCTCTGGCAAAGATTTCCGATGGCTACACACAGGGTCACATGGTGCAGGTGGTACGTAGCATCTTGACTGAACGGCGCATTCAGCAGTTGCCTAAACGTCCACTAACTGCTTCAGAGTTTGTACCTCCACTTGCTAGAATTGACCCAGTGTTTCAGGAAGAAGAAGAGTCGCTAAAAGTAAGTATTATCTCAAGCGGGCATGGCTTCCCACTGCACATTGAAGTTGATAGCGAACTTGGCAATAACCTGAGAGGGAAAAGACCCTCATGATATTCATTTTATTTCCAGTCTTCACTTTTTTTTCTTATTAACAGAACTGGTATGCCAAGACTCCCCTTGGAAAGAAGAGAATTAAAGCTGCCTTAGGGAAAGAGGGTGATGAAGAGTCCCCAAAAACAGGAGGCAAAGGTGGCAAGAAGAAAGGAAAAAAGTAACAATATAAGAGTTAACATGATCAACCACAGTAGGAGATAACCTGCTTTGACCAATAAATGTATTGATTTGCTCATGCCATCATTATCTTATGATAATATGCATATTTTTGTTCAGTTGTTAATTAAAATCCAAATTGAGGGGGTGGCACAAAAGGGTTTGTGGGTCTGTAAATACACAGATACCATCTCCATTTAAGAGCATGTACACCACAGTGTGAAAAACATGATCAGAGTATCACATCGTATCTGCACTTCCACTTAACAAACTGGGATATAGCCTGCACATTTTTTTTTATAACTTTCAAGAAAGCCTCATAAGCAAAGTAATGATGATACTTTAATCTGATATAACAATTAGAGATTTGATGGCAGCTAAAATGGGGATCTCAGGATAAATTTAGGTTCAATAATTGTAATGAGTAAAATTCTTATTCTGGTGGCTTGAAAATGGCCAATGTCTCTGCAAACCTTTACATGGCTCCCATTTTGATGGTCCACCGCTTCATTAGTTCTAAAACACAATCTGCCCTGAAAATTTATATCTAAAGGGATAATACCCTACTGTTCAAACGTTTGGGGCCGGTAAGTCTCTTATGCTCACCAAGGCTGCATTTATTTAAAACTAAAAATACAGTGAAAATAGTATTATTATGAAATATTACAATTTAAAATAACCGATTTCTATTTTAAGAATTTTAAAATGTAATTTATTTCCTGTGGTGGCAAAGCTGAAGTTTCAGGAGCCATTACTCCAGTCCCCAGTGTCACATGATCCTTCAGAAATCATACTAATAAGCTGATTTGATGCCCAAGAAGCATTTCATCAATGTTGAAAACAGTTATGCAGTTTAATATTTCGTGGAAAAAGTGATACATTTTGTCAGGATTCTGTGATGAATGGAACGTTCAGAAAGAACAGGATTTATTTGAAGTAGAATGTAATTGTGACATTTTAAAATTCTTTACTTTCAATGTAATGCATCCTTGCTAAATAAAAGTACAAAAAACAAACACACTTACTTTCGAAAGGTAGTGCACAAACCTATAGATCTAAACTCAAGTATTGTGTAGATATTCAAGCTGCAATTTGCTGGCAAGACCTCCGCAAGTGCACCAGTCTGCTAAAAATGCAGACTGATCTCATGAAATGGCGTATGTATGACACGCCAATTCGTATTTTCATTTTTGGCGTGCTATCAACACGCATAATCGCTTTTCAGCGTGTTTATCAACGCCTTTGACTTAACGTTATATTACTGTATTATGTATATATAAATATATGACCTACCCCAACCCCGTCCCTAAACCTACCCGTCACTGGGGTTAATACCATTTATGAGTCTTCTCCTACCATCCTAGGAAAAGAAATATCGCTCCACAGATGTAGATATAGATTTTGCTTCGTTTCGCTCGGACATTTAACGGCGTACACATACACGCGGAATCACTCGGACATTTAATGGCGTAGACATACACGCAAAAGATTTCGGCGTGGACATACACGCGGATACCTCAAAATGCGTATAGATAACACGCCACGTTGCAAAATGTATTTGTGATTTAAAAAAAAAAAAAATTAAGTGAAGCTAACAAGTTTCCCTGCATAAGAATTCTTCCCTGTGTCTGCTGTGGGATGTTGGGGTCCATACATAGAGGTGAAAAGACAGTATGTGCTTTAGATGTGTCAAGGACAACTAATGGGAGAAGGGGATTTTGTAGCCCCAGTTAGACATGTGGATCTGTGATTGGTCTGGGCTGAAACTGAGACAGCCCCCAGACTAGGGTTTAAAGGATTATCTCAGATCAACAAATGGACAGGCACTCTATCAAAGAAACACATCTCAGTGCTGGTAAACATGTAGATCAGCATATTTCATCAAAGTAGAACTTATGTGATTTCACAAAGTTAGAATTGAGGTTTTGGTGCTTCATTTTAATTTGATTTTGATGCAAAGCAGGAACAAGCTGCACAATAGCATCAACGTCATTGACATCCTGAAGGTCATGCTGTTTTCGCTCTCTCTAAACTCAAGTGCCAACTGTGTCATGGGTTTGGATGGATTCTATGGATTGAATTCAGCCAAATTGCTTTACGTTTATATATATTTCTAAAGCATGATTGAAAAACACTGTTGCAAATGATTTATGTGTCTATTGATTGTATCTACTTCTATTAACTCAAATGATATGTTCAAATTGAACTGCTAAGAATTATAATAATGGAGTGCAAAGCAATATAGTAGTGTGAGCACTGAGCAGTAAGGTGACTTCGAGTTGATTAATGGCTCTCGATAAATCTGTTGTCAGCAGGGTGGAGAGAGACAAAACCAAAGGACATGTGAAACTAGCAGAGATGGGCTCCAAACATGGACCTGTGAGCTTAGGTGAAGTGTTCAGCTGTTTCGTCAAGTTCTAATTTCACCTAACACATCCTCACATGGTTCTGGTTCCTTAACAAATAACTATTTATACGGCGTCTTCGGTCCATCAGTGATATCACATCCCCGTCACTTTGAGTTGAGACCACTTGTACACATGCATGGTGGATGTCTGCAACTAATTTGACAGACTTTGCACCTGCAAACTGCAATAAGCTTTCAGGTTGATTCAATGGAAACAGGTAAAAGTTATGTTTTGAAGGTGAGGTGCATAATTTCTTTCATCGCCAAACAGAATACAGACAGTCAGTTTTCTAACACTTCCTCCTTTCTGTCTATCATTGGTTGGCAGAAACAGGTAGTTCCTCACCCAAACTCATGCCATGGTTGAGCTAATTATTATGTCCAGCCATTTGGAGTATCAAATCAAATCAATTCTGTTTGATGCTGCTATTAACATAAACATGTCACTATAAATATCATCTATCAAGATAACTCAGGACAAATATGTCCGCTGACAGATGTTCAAATTTGATAATGCGATGTGCTTAATAGACAAAAAAAAAAAGGCAAAAAAAAAAGATGTTTGAAGTCTCAAATAATTCTTGAATTGTCAATTGAGAATATGCATGTTGAGACTTCTTTATAGTTGTCAGAATGAATCCTGTTCTTTTCACATGAGAGCTTGAATGCCTCTTACCAAATCTGGACAGTCTTGCAGTATGGGCATTCAGATCTAACAAGTGATTTCACAGCTGAATGACAGGATCTTTTAATCTCCTGTGACCTTTCCAACTCGGTTGTATTGGCATCTCTCAGAGAAATATGATTTATGAACTCAGGAACCCGTGCTACTGTGAATAACTTCTAGTCAGCACAACGTTAATCAATAAAAGGAAAATATTCATTCTCTGGGAATCAACTTTGAATCAAGCCTGAGAATTTGTAAAGGGATACATAGTCAATTAAGAGATATAATAAATAAGCTAATGAACCAAACCATCCTTTGTGAAAGGTATGGTTGGTTTTCTGTGTATGAAAACAATGCTAGCAGGCAGGACTTGCTCCATGTAGCCAAGATGTTTCTATCTTTATGTATAATGACGCACAGCTATTTTGGAGATATGTCAGCTGTTTGGTATTAGCCTTTGGGAAAGCTGGAAAAAAAGAAAAACACTTTCAGCTGCTTGTCTGCCAAGGGAAACGGGATAGCACACTGACCTGGGTATCTTTGGTCAAAGTTTGGAGGATAATCTTGAAGGAATTTATGTGAACTACAGAAAAGCCTAGGCGGACTTTGATGTTTTCTGGTATCTATGTCATTAGTTTCAAATATTATGGTTTTAAGGGTCTTTTATGGACTTTAATGTGAGGGAAATGCCTAATTCAGCTAATGGTGAGTGGAATGGAAGATCCGTTTGTTCTTCTAAATGTCTAATCTGTGTGAATGTTTTTCTCATGACTGATTTCAAATTGTTGTTTAATACCCAGTTTTCTGGTGCATGATCTTCTACAACAACAGCAACAACAACAAAAGATTTGATGAAGTCTAATCTAATGTCTACAGTTTTATAAGTTCCCAATTTTTTTATTTGACTATAGTCTGATTAGTGCAAAAAAGCTATGAAATTCATTATTTATTCCATGTTTTTAATCTCAAGGATGCAAAGATGGTGTCATGTTTCAAAGCATTATATACACTTGAGGCAAACTATTAATTGAGCAATTGTGACATGCTGCAACAACTGGGAGAGGCGTTTGTTTGTAATGTGAGAAAGAAGTGTGCAGGGAGTTAGTCTTTGTTTGATTTAGACAAACTTCAGTTGTATCGGCACATATGGACATAAGCTCTCCATATAAGCTAGACTGGCAGAGACATCGGTGCATGCCAACGAATTAGGCCTACACGGAGTGTAAGAGCATATCATTTCTGTCAGTTTCATATTTCTTAGCAGCCACGGGTTGTAGGCTATTCACTATTAAGATCTGCTTCTGTGTTACACGAGTGTTTTAGACATAAAATTAGACACATGAATGCATTTTGTTAATTAAGTACAAAATTAATAAATGAATACAAAAATTATAAAAATTTGGAAATAACAACAACAATAAGCATATTTCTTTTTCAGTCTTCATAATTGTCGATGAGTAACAAAGGACACTTTTTTTTTTAGTGCAACTGGAGTAGTAAACTTGAAGTTGCTGGTCATTCCTAAAGGCTTGTGAGAGTAGCCTAGGTGCTATGGCATGTAAGAATAATTTCTTAATTAAGCATTCTGAATATTTTTATATCGTCATGATATATTTTATACTAGCACTGTACTTAGCAGTCCCTAAGTGACATTCGCGGGACTCTGAGACATTCACGTGAGTTTTGGCGCGAACACGATCAAAGGAAATATAGAAAACATGAGCACGAGACAGGTTGTCGTGCTCGCGCGAAAGATATAGTTTCCCCCGCAAATGTCACTTTAGGGGGTCTGTAGTAGGGCAGTATTTGTTAAAAAAAAGATAATTCCTCTATTTTTGTCTAAAGTGAATAGAATTCAATTGGTGAAAGGGCTAGAGGATGTGACGCTGTGTGAGAAAGAAGTCTGTACATTTGAGGTGGTCCTCAGCCATGCGTACATCCAGGGTGAATGGACCAGGAATGGACTCCCCCTTAAATCCAGGCCTGTGTGTCGAATTGCCACGCAGGGGAAAAAACACACACTCACCCTGACGCGGGTCACGGTTTCTGACATGGGCGTCATCAGCTTCAAGGCTGAAGGGATCGAAAGCTCAGCTATGCTGACAGTCACAGGTAGGCTACCGCCAATACACAACCTGTCTTTAACCCATGCTTTAACCCTGTAAAACCTGACATATGAAATATAAATTAAACCTGACATATGAAATACAAATGGTCAGAATTTTTTTTTTTTTTTTTTTTTTTAATGGAACAGTATATTGAACCTTTAGAATATATATGTACATACCCTGGCCCTTGCACAATCTGAAAAATGTTAATTTTAATAAAATAAGAGGGATCATACAATATGTTATTTTTTATTTCTGTCATTAATAAGATATTTTACATAAAAGATGTTTACATATAGTCCACAAGACTAAAACAATAGCTGAATTTATGACCCCGTTCAAAAGTTTATACCTGCCTTGAACATATTTTATGTAACATACTACACTCACCTAAAGGATTATTAGGAACACCATACTAATACTGTGTTTGACCCCCTTTCGCCTTCAGAACTGCCTTAATTCAACGTGGCATTGATTCAACAAGGTGCTGAAAGCATTCTTTAGAAATGTTGGCCCATATTGATAGGATAGCATCTTGCAGTTGATGGAGATTTGTGGGATGCACATCCAGGGCACGAAGCTCCCATTCCACCACATCCCAAAGATGCTCTATTGGGTTGAGATCTGGTGACTGTGGGGGCCATTTTAGTACAGTGAACTCATTGTCATGTTCAAGAAACCAATTTGAAATGATTCGAGCTTTGTGACATGGTGCATTATCCTGCTGGAAGTAGCCATCAGAGGATGGGTACATGGTGGCCATAAAGGGATGGACATGGTCAGAAACAATGCTCAGGTAGGCCGTGGCATTTAAACGATGCCCAATTGGCACTAAGGGGCCTAAAGTGTGCCAAGAAAACATCCCCCACACCATTACACCACCACCACCAGCCTGCACAGTGGTAACAAGGCATAGTTAACACGCCAAATTCTGACTCTACCATCTGAATGTCTCAACAGAAATCGAGACTCATCAGACCAGGCAACATTTTTCCAGTCTTCAACTGTCCAATTTTGGTGAGCTCTTGCAAATTGTAGCCTCTTTTTCCTGTTTGTAGTGGATATGAGTGGTACCCGGTGGGGTCTTCTGCTGTTGTAGCCTATCCGCCTCAAGGTTGTGCGTGTTGTGGCTTCACAAATGCTTTGCTGCATACCTCGGTTGTAACGAGTGGTTATTTCAGTCAAAGTTGCTCTTCTATCAGCTTGAATCAGTCGGCCCATTCTCCTCTGACCTCTGGCATCAACAAGGCATTTTCGCCCACAGGACTGCCGCATACTGGATGTTTTTCCCTTTTCACACCATTCTTTGTAAACCCTAGAAATGGTTGTGCGTGAAAATCCCAGTAACTGAGCAGATTGTGAAATACTCAGACCGGCCCGTCTGGCACCAACAACCATGCAACGCTCAAAATTGCTTTTCACCTTTCTTTCCCATTCTGACATTCAGTTTGGAGTTCAGGAGATTGTCTTGACTAGGACCACACCCCTAAATGCATTGAAGCAACTGCCATGTGATTGGTTGATTAGATAATTGCATATGAGAAATTGAACAGGTGTTCCTAATAATCCTTTAGGTGAGTGTATCTTATTCAGGACAGTACCACATAAAATTAACATGCATTTTGTATGATCCCTCATATATATACATATGTTATTTATGTTTATGAGGTTTATAAAATTATGCTAAGTTTTTTTAACAAAGCTCTATTTTTTTGTGGGGAGAAAAACGATGCAATGCAACAGATTGAGAGATGTACAAATAAACATTCCTCAAAAGATGTACAGTATCAAATTTGATGTACAGTATTATATTAGATACTCACATAATAACTTTGTTTTTCTAAAAAGTGATGTTGGGATACTCAAGTAAAACCTAAGTTGCTTCAGTCGAACAAGTGTTCATCATGAAATATTACAAACAATGTAAAAGTTATTTTTAAATTTACTGTATAAAAATCAGTAAAGATTTCAGAGGAAAAAAAAGACATTTACAACAACTTGAAGGGGACTTTTTTTAATTATACTAAAAGGCCTTTCAATTGAAAGGCCAAAAAAAAAAAAAAAGTTCCCCTGATGATTTTGTAAGTTTGCCCACTTACAAAGAAATAAAGGGTCTATCATTTTTATGGTAGGTTTATTTTAACGGATAGAGACAGAATATCAACCAAAAAAATCCAGAAAAAACACTATAACATTATAAAGGTTATAAATTGATTAGCATTTGATCGAGTGAAATAAGTATTTGATCCCCTACCAACCAGCAAGAATTCTGCCTCCCACAGATTGGTTATGTGCCCATGTGGAACACAGATTAGTCTTGTCACTTTTAGAAAGTACTCCTAATGTCAGCTCGTTATGTGCATAAAAGACAGCTGTCCCCAGAATCTGTATCTTTCATTCCAACGTCTCCACTACCGTGGGCAAGACCAAAGAGCTTTCAAAGGACGTCAGGGACCAGATTGTAGACCTGCAGAAGGCTGGAATGGGCTACAAGACCATCAGCAAGAAGCTTGGTGAGAAGGAGAAAACTGTTGCTGCCATTATTCGGAAATTGAAATGCAAAATAACCATCAATCGCCCTCGGTCTGGAGCTCCATGCAGGATCTCGCCTCATGAGGTAAGGATGATCATGAGAAAGGTGAGGGATCAGCCCAGAACTACACGGGAGGAGCTTGTTAATGATCTCAAGGCAGTTGGGACCACAGTCACCAAGCAAACCATTGGTAACACACTACGCCGCAATGGATTAAAATCCTGCAGCGCCCGCAAGGTCCCCCTGCTCAAGAAGGCACATGTACAGGCCCGTCTGAAGTTTGCCAATAAACATCTAATCATTCAGAGAAGGCTTGGGAGAAAGTGCTGTGGTCAGATGAGACCAAAATTGAGCTCTTTTGCATTAACTCAACTCGTGTTCTGAGGAAGAGAAATGCTGACTATGACCCCAAGAACACCATCCCTACAGTCAAGCACAGAGGTGGTAACATTATGCTCTGGGGCTGTTTCTTTGCTAAGGGTACAGGTCGACTTCACCGTATTGAGGGGCTGATGGACGGGGCCATGTACTGTAAAATCTTGGACGAGAACCTCCTTCCTTCAGCCAGAACACTGAAGATGGGTCGTGGATGGGTCTTCCAGCATGACAATGACCCAAAACTTACCGCCAAGGCAACAAAGGAGTGGCTCAAGAAGAAGCACATTAAGGTCTTGGAGTGGCCTAGCCAGTCTCCAGACCTTAATCCTATATACAATCTGTGGAGGGATCTGAAACTTTGAGTTGCAAAGCGACAGCCAAGAAGCCTTTAGGATTTAGAGAGGATCTGTAAAGAGGAATGGACCAAAATCCCTCCTGAGATGTGTGCAAACCTGGTGACCAACTACAAGAAAGGTCTTACCTCTGTGCTTGTCAACAAGGGTTTCTCCACCAAGTAAATGATGTTTTGCTTGGGGATCAAATACTTATTTCACTCACTGAAATGCAAATCAATTTATAAAATATATATAATGTGTTTTTTTCTGGATGTTTTGGTTGATATTCTGTCTCTATCCGTTAAACTAACCCTACCCTACCATAAAAATGATAGACCCTTCATTTATTTGTAAGTGGGCAAACTTACAAAATCATCAGGGGATCAAACAACTGTTTTTTTTTAGCAAAGATTTGATCATGTTGATTCAAAGGCCGTAGAAATGTGCATATAAAATATGATACATTAGGCTTTAGAGGGTTAATGCAATATAAAGTAATTTCTCTGTGTGATAGTGGTAGTAATGCCTCAGATCCCAAATGATTTGGATAATGTACATTTACAGTAGAGAAGTGGTTTTTGTCATTTTAAATGTTACCAAACAAGCTGCTTGTGATAGCAGTTTGCTACTATCCTGTTTCCTTTCTCTCAGCCAGGGATATAAAGATTGTGAAGGATCTTCAGAATGCCAGTGTGACCGAGAGGGAGAGTGTGACATTTATCTGTGAGGTCAACTGGGAAGATGTGGATGGGAAGTGGTACAAGGACGACAGCCGGTTGCGAGCTAGGGACAATGTTAAAATAAGATGTGAGGGTATGTGTGAGAGGTTTTGTGACACTTTGACTTATGGTGGATGTCATTATGTTCATAACAGGGTCATTCTCAAAATATGGTAACAAACATTTCACGTGACTTTTTAGACATGAATAAGAGATTTCAAACTTCTTAATATGAATAGCATAATCCTTAAATTTAACCCAACGTTTATTAAATGACATAGTTTTATGCTATATAGTTTAAAAAAAATTATATTTAAGTTTGTTAAGTGCATAACAAGTCCTTATCTCTGTCGTCTAGCATATTTATTTGTTGATTTAAAAAATAAATAATTTAAGCATTAATTCACAGTATAGCAAGTTTGCAAAAACGCAAAACAAAATAAGTGGATTGTTCAAAAAACTAATTTTCCCTTGATTTCTTTCCATTGATGTTCCAAACTCGTATTTAGAAAATTCAAAAAGCTGTGTATGTAGCTGTGCACCATGTTGAAAAATTAATTTATTAATTTAGTTAATTTAAATTAGTTATTGGTGTTAAATAATAAAAAAAATTATTTGAATTACGCCGGAATATGACAATTTTTTGAGAATGACCAAAAAGGTTTTTTAATTGAAAATGATAATATTTTGTTTTAGAATCTAATTTTCAGCTGCTCTTTCACATTTGATCAAATCTTACAAACAGGTAAAATACACTCCCTGAGCTATAAATCAGTCAAACCAGAAGATGCTGGTGAAATCAGATTCACTGCCGAGAGGGTCTCTTCAACAGCAACACTACGAGTTAAAGGTAAAAATGAGAGCATCGCATTTGATCCGTTTTCTTCAATTGTCTTTGAATTTACCAAGGATGATCATTGCAGAGCTTCCAGTTAATTTTTTGAAGCCCCTGAGGGTGAAGATTGCTATGTACAAACACCGTGCCTTGCTGGAGTGTCAGGTCTCCCGTGACAATGCTGTGGTTAAATGGTACAGAAGAAACCATGAAATTGTGCCAAATGGCAAGTACCAAACTATCAGTGAAGGTGTGTACAGACAGCTCATCATAGATGATGTGGGCTCCTCAGATGAAGACACTTTTATCTGTGATGCTGTTGATGAGAGGACTTCCTGCCAACTGTTTGTAGAGGGTGAGAAGTCATTTTTTTCTAAAGTAAATTTAATCATAATTTAAATACAGTTTACTAATCCAGTTTCAATATTATCGTTGATTTAACAGATTCATTCTTAGTCTACTTTTATTCATTTAGTAGTCAGTTAGTCTATCCTTTTAAAATGTTAGCTAAGACTTTTATGCACTGGATATTTGATCTATTCTTACAGAGCAGGCCATCGGCATTTTGAAAGGACTCAGTTCTGTGGAGGTCATGGAGCCTAAAGAGGCTCGTTTTAAAGTGGAAACCAGTATTAAATTAGAGAGGGCACCAAAATGGACCCTGAATGGGCAGATGCTATGCCCCTGTCCAGAAATCAGGATTGAGAGGCAAGGAACCTCGAACAGACTTATTTTCACCCAAACTGACAGCAGCATGTGTGGCATTGTGCAGTTCACCTCGGGGAAGAGCAAGTCAGAAGCTCAACTCACAGTTACAGGTAATTATCTGGTCAATCTCAAATATTCACAGTAGGGATACACAGTAAATTGGCAGTGTGACGCTGAAGCTTCGATACGTGCTTCGAAACCCTGAACTACAAACCTAGAGAACCACTGCTTCAAAGCTTGCTTTGGTGCGAAAAAAATCATGTGACATATGACGTCCGAAGCAGCAAGTGCTTCATTGCCTGAATGAATCATCTGACTGGTTTGCGGTCCAATCAGGTGATTCACTGGAACGGCGCGTCTCGATTCTGACAGGTGATAGGTTGAAACAGTTTTGAGCGCCTTTTAGTCTTTATAACCACTCTAAACAATGTACAATTGTACAACGTACAAAACCATCAAAATGTGTACCCTCATCTGTTTAATCTTGCAAAAAAAAATGTATGTTCGCCAGCATCATCTGTTCCTTGTGAGCGAGTGTTTTCCAAGTCTGGAGAGGTTGTGAGCAAAAAAAGAAACTGACTCAGTCCAAAAACTGTTGAAAAAATAATGTACCTCAATAAAAATCTTTGAGTGTTCCCCATCCCAAAAATCACCCCCTGCCATAGTTACACAAGCACACCCAACCTATGCCATATTTTCCCAGCACTCTCTCCTAAATAACACAAAACATACATTTATCAATTTTTATTTGTAAATAGAACATTATGCTCTGCATTAGTGTGTGCATCAAAGAGTTTTCAAAGGAAATATAGTTAAAAATCCAAGGGTGATCTTAGCAAAGATGCTTCAGAACTAAAGTAGTTTCTCCAATACTGCTCACTGATTAATTTGACTGCAGCCTTGCTTTTCGCCAGGAGAGGTCGCTGCAACTGAAGCTTCGAGTAATGAACCCATTTTCGAACCAATTGGCTCAAGTGGTTCAGTGCTTCACAAAAGCTTCATTTGGCCATCACTAACCTCCAATACAAATATTTACTGATAACTCAAAAACGGGTACAGGCAAGCAAACGGGCAGATGATACACACAACGTGACATAGACAATAACCAATCAAGACTAACTGAACAGAAGGAGACTAAATATAGATGCAAATGAACAATAACGAGGTGAGGACAGGTGACACGGATGATGATGATGACGAAGAACAGGTGGGTGATTGAGGGAGTGAGTTCAGGTGTGGAGACAAGAAGGATTCTGGGAAGTGTAGTGCAGAGGAGGACCGAGAGGTGCAGACTGAGACTGTGACAATATTAGTTATCGGACAAGTTTTTTAAAAATGATTGGTATCAGAGTATTGGTTATTTAATTGTGTAAGCTCATGTCCACTATTTTTGCATTTAGGCTGCGTTTGCACTGGCTCCAAAAATTAGATTTTTTACTAAAATTTGACACACATCGGAATTTGTTGCATGCGTATACACAAAAATCACTCCTGTATGCACGTTGTAACATGTTGTAAATGGACGTCTTTGACGCTCTTCACCAAGCGCTTACACATACACACAGGAGCGTTTGAAAGCAGCCTTTTATCAGCAGATTTTTTAGAGATCCGCTGACAGACGCATGCTTTCAAATGCTACCGTGTGTATCTGTGTAAGCTCTCGGTGAAGAGCGTCTATTTACAACATGTTTTTGAAGCGTTGATCATTATAGCCAATCACATACATGCATGTTGAGCTTGTGAACACAATGGCCAATCAGATACATGTTGAGCACGTGAACACAATGGCCAATCAGAGGTGTTTAAGAATCCATTCAACAGTGCTCAAAATGCTAGAGGGAAATGCTGGTATAGTCACATTTTTTTTAATTTTTGTACCGAAGTTGGTACTTTTGAATTAATTTAAACTAGTAATTTATTTTAATATAAGCCATTTATCGTTAATTGGCCATAACAAAAATCTGCTTATCTTATCATGAATTTAATATCAGTGCATCCCTAGTCTCGCATAGCCAGACCTTCAGACTGACGACAGAAGGTCTGGACTCTATCGCAGCTTTTCTTGGCCAAGGACCGCCTAAGAGGATGTTTGACTGACATGTAACGCAACCAATCACAGTTCATTTTGTTCCACGTCATGTTTAGGGGCATGACAATATTATGTCGATGTCCCTACAATAACACACCGGTGTGCATCTAATAAATTATTCATTCAAGAGCGTTGTGCAAGTTTACTGCAACAATGGAGCCGCAAACTTCACATATACTTTTGAAAATCCAGCGATTAGTTGATCCTGGTAAGCGCTTATTGTCACAGTTGTAAACACAACGGCTTTCTTCTTCCACGAGGGGTTTTGGCGTCACAGAATTTGTTTCCACGCCGTTAAACTGCGTGACACACGCTTCTCCCGGACATCCTGTAGAATTCAACCAATCAGATCGCGACTTCGAAACTCCTGAAGTGTTTCCAGAAAAGTGTGCCATATGCATCAGACGTTCAGCCAATGGTCTGTGGGCGTGACGTCTGAGGCTGAGACTAGTGCATCCCTAAATCAGAGCATAGAGCCATGCATTTGTATTATATGGCTTGTGAATAATGTGCCTTATGAATCCTTGCTTTCCTACACTTTCCTAATAGAGCGGCCTTTGATCATCAAACAGCCCATTTCAGATGTGGAGGTGAAGGAGAACGGGTCAGTTACTCTCAGCTGTGAGTTCTGTCCATCCCCCAGAGTGGTGCGCTGGTTCAAGGGTAGAACACCCCTGTTTGCCTCCAATAAGTGCACAATGAAGCGAGAAAAGAACCGGGTTGAGATGACCATCCTGGGTGTGAAAGTAGCAGATTCAGGAGAGTATCGGTGTCTGGCTGGTGGCTCGGAGACAAGAGGAAGAATCAGTGTGGAAGGTACCTGCTTTTAGCTACAGTATAAGGGTGTTTAACGTACCTGCAAATTTTAAACACATCATCAAAATAAGACACAATCTGCACTCCCTGGTATAGTCTTCCATATGCACGAGTAGCTTTTCATGAAGCATTTTTTTGAGCACAGATGAGACACATTCAGTACATTAGAAATCATTTTTATTTTCTTGCAGTTAAAAGGTTGAAGATCATAAGACATCTGGAGCAAGTAGAGACTGAGGAAGATGGATGCGCTGTATTCAGTTGTGAACTGAGTCACGAGTCACCCAGTGTCCAGTGGCTTCTCAATGACAGAGTACTGTACACCAACCACATAAACAAAGTCCAGAATTCTGGAAAAGTGTACAGTCTGATTCTAAAGCGACTCGCTCCTCAAGAGAGCCGTGTAACATTCAAAACCTTTGATATCAGCGAGTCTGTGTTCCTCAGGGTCAGAGGTAAGGTTTTCAGTTACCATGGGACTAAGAAAACAGGATTTTTTAACAACCTGCTGTCCAACTCCTCTACATTCAAAGCAGAGACAGACACATGTACAAGAATTTACAACAGATATCGGATATATAATTGTTTCTGCCCAGCACATTCTTAAAGGAATAGCTATAAATTATGGAAGAGATTTAACCCTTTAAGAGCACTATTTCTTTCAATTTACGAGTTCATGCATAAAATGAGTTGTACTTTATTATAAGAAATAGACATACTGTTACAACTCATTTCAGGCCACACAAACAAACTCACTCAGTTAACCTTTCAAATCCAGTGGTTATAATCCTCTCCACTCTATTTTTAAACTAGAGTTTAGGTACTATCCAACCAGCATATCATGGAGCCCCTAAAGGGACATGGTGATGAAAAAAATATGAGATGGACATAAAAAATAAAAAATTAGCATTCTCTTGCAAAAGTTTTGCGTTCAGAGAAACTTTCGCGTTCCCTGAGAAACTTTGCCTTTACTCGTTAAGAAATGAAAAATTTTACGGGTGAATGCAAACTTTCTCAGGGGAACGCTAAACATTTGCGAGAGAATTCAAAAGCATTGACATAATTTTTCCTTCCATCTCATGTTTTTTTCTATTACTATGTCCCTTTAGGGGTTCCGTAGCATCCCTCCTCTATTATTATTTTTTTTTCTAATTCAAACAGTTTCTATAGCAGAATTTTTTCAGTCTGTCTTACTGTACATTATAATGTTGTGATGCCTAAATTCACTTTAGCATGCAAAAGTGAGTGTTAATTTTCTTTGGTATAGATTTCTAATATCGGCCATTTATGTGTGTCTCTTAGAAAAGCCAGCAGTATTTCTCAGGTCACTGGAGGATGTAGCAGGTGAGGAGCGTGGAGAAGTCCTTCTGCAGTGTGAGGTTTCCAAGCCGTCTGTAACTTCTGTCTGGAGGAAAGATGGTGAAATTCTGACTGTCAATGAGAAGTATGAGATTCTTCATTTAGGAAAGTCATTGACTCTTATAATTCGCAAGCTGAGAAAGGACGATGGAGGGGAGTACAGTTGTGATATTGGCTGCAGCCAAACTAAAGCGAAAGTCATAGTTCGTGGTAGGTTTCATGATCTCTAATTGAATCTAATTGAAATAATTAACAAAAAAATACATTTTATTTAAACTGAGGGTCTTTTTTCAGACCTGCGCGTTACCATTACCAAACGCATACGGACAACAACTGTGCTGGAAGGGGAAGACTGCAGTTTTGAGTGTGTCCTGTCCCATGAAATCATCGATGAAGCATTGTGGATCTTGAATGGCAAACTGATTGTCAGCAATGGACGGATCATAGTCACTAACCAGGGGTGCAAATACACAATGAGCATTCAGGAAGTTATTATATCTGATGCCGGAGAAGTGGTCTTTACCATCAAAGATCTCAGTTGCAGGACTATGTTGTTCGTCAAAGGTGATCATTTAAATTCGCAAATAATGCAAGTTTCCAAGTTCAGCATTGCTTACGCTCTGTCTCTTCTGTTTTCTCAGAGAAGCCTGTGAGAGTGTTTAGGGATATGCTAAATGTTAAAGCGACACCCGGTGAAGATCCAGAGCTCAGCTGTGAGATCACCAAACCTGATGCAACAGTTAAATGGCTGAAAAATGGGCGAATAATTAGAGTCAGCCCAAAATATGAAATAACCCAAAAGGATTATTTGGTGAAGCTCATCATCCATAATGCAGCCATAATGGACTCAGGAGAGTACTGCTGTGAGGCTGATGGGATTGCTACAAGGGCAAGATTAGATGTCAGAGGTAAATACTTCCTTATTCACTATTGTACATTTGAGTTGGCTCATTTTATACACTTTATTAATTTTTCCCAGTGCAACTGCTCTTTCAGTGATTGACCGATCAAGTTCATTTTATTCTGCTGAATGCCATTTACACTGTTACTCTCTCTTTTGTCGTAATGCATTTAGACTTGCAACAAACATTTGCGAAGGAACTGAAGGATTTGCGTGCAGAGGAAAAGGGCACAGTGATCATGGAGTGTGAAACCAGGAGGGCCACCACTACCGTGAACTGGTTAAAAGGCTTGATGGTGCTCAGCTCGGGACAAAAGTACATGATGAAGAAAAAGGATGTTGTCCTCACTCTGACCATCTTCAGTCTGGAGAAGAGTGACAGTGCCGTCTACACCTGTGACGTTGGGACAATGCAGAGCAGGGCATTACTTACAGTTCAAGGTAGCCAAACAACAAATGGTTTAAAATTCTTTCAGAATTATATACCTTTGAAAAAGTGAATCTGAGATGGGTTACTAGAATAAAGTGTTTGAACACTATTTTATAGTCACTTTATGAATTGTAAAAGTTTTTATGCATCTATTGGATTTTTCATATGAATCTGGCTCTCAGGTCAAAAAGTGGTCATTGTGGATGAGCTAGAAGATAAAGAGTGTCTAGAAGGAGATACCATCGTCTTCAAGTGTCGGATCTGCCCAAGTGACTATACTGACATTAAATGGTACCTGGATGAGACCTTGCTCTATACTAATGATCTTAACGAGATCAAGATGATGCCTGGTGGCTACCACACTCTTACCTTTAAACAGCTTGCACGTAAAGACACCGGCACCATCTCCTTCGAGGCTGGGGACAAAAGATCATATGCGTCACTATTAGTCAGAGGTAACTATTATAAATCATGACATTTGACAAGATGCATGTGGCATATAAGCTTGAAATAGCGGATTGCCGTTAATAATGCTCACAAAATAGCCTTTTAAGGTGAAACTAGTCAATATGTCTTTTACTGCTTTGATATTATAAAAGGATCATGATACATATAATTTTTTATACATAATGTTACACATAAAATATATATTTTGAGGTTTCAAACAAAAAAGGAGGCTTTTAAAGAGGCTTATGTGTAAACTTTTGTTGTCTTTGTTGTCTATCATAAAATGAAAAATGTGAAACATAAGAAAATACAGTGCAGATCAGAATAATGTACAACATAAATAAACTGAAATATGTCTTTGTAATAAACCTCTTTGAATAACAGAGAGACGCCCCACGATAACTAAAGCATTGGAGGACACAGAAGCAATTGAAGGAGGAAGTTTGGTGCTGTTATGCAAGACCTCAAAGCCATGTCATATTGTTTGGTACAAAGATGGCTGTTTAGTCTGGAATTCCTCAAAGTACTTAGTTAGTCGATCTGGGAATGAGGCCAGGCTGGCCATCCGTGATGTGAAAGACAGTGACGCAGGGGTGTACGAGTGCGATGCAGGATCGGTTAGCAGTAAAGCCACTTTGACTGTTAAAGGTATTTCAGATGTCTCATTTCCACATTCGCATTCTACCATGTGGGAGGTTTTAGTTTTACTACTTTTTCTAAAATTACATCATCTTTATGTTTGTTTCACATTAGTTATCCTTGCTGAGTTTACAAAAGCTCTTCAGAACCAGGAGGTCAAAGAGGGAGAGAGTGTGACGCTGACGTGCGAATACTCTATACCCGGCGTCCAGTTTGTCTGGCGCAAAGGACCTGAGACACTAAAATATAGTGATAAGTACCACATGAGGCAGAGGAAATCTTGCATTTCTCTTACAATACACAATCTGATGCCGGAAGACTCTGGGAATTACACATGCATTTGCAGAGACCAAAAAACTATGGCTACTGTTACAGTCAATGGTACTGATTTCTATGAAAATGAATTCAAAACATTTGTCTTTGATTTGTAGCTTCACTTGTACCATTCCCTCTTTTCCAGCGGTTCCTATATCATTTGTTAAAGAGCTCAAGAACCAAGAGACAGAGGAGGGTAAAAATGTGACATTACGCTGTGAGCTTTCTAAAGCTGGAATCCCTGTGGAATGGTTGAAAGGTGAACAAAAGCTCTGTCCTGGCGAGAAGTATCAGATGAGACACATAGTCACCATACTGGAGCTGGTAATCAGAAGTCCAGTGCCTGAGGACAGTGGAACGTACATCTGTGTGTGTGAAGATCAAAGGACCAAAGCTATTATCAAAATACGAAGTAAGACAAGATGTTGAATATAAAGACTTTGCCTCTCCAATGATCTGAATGCTGAAAATGGAGCTTATATATTCTTTAATATTTCCTTAGCTCAACCCATTACGTTCAAACAGAAGTTAAGAAATCAAATAGCTGAGGAGGGAAACAGCATAATCTTACATTGTGAGATATCCAAACAAGACATCCCTGTTGAGTGGAGAAAGGGGAACAACCTGCTCAAGTCCGGAGAGAAGTACAAGATCAGGCAGAGAGGCTGCATGCTAGAGCTGAAGATTTTCAATTTGACACAAGAGGACAGTGGAGTCTATAGCTGTACAAGTGAAACTGCCCAGACATCAGCCAACATTACTGTTAGTGGTAAGCTACTTCAAAAGTCATCATCCAAAATAAGGATTTTTTCTAATACTTGCCCAGTCAGGCCAGTAGTTCAGGCCAGAGCACTTGACCTGCCAATTTTTCAATGCCACTAAAACAAAATAGTGATCATTTAACAATGCTTTTTTATATTTGCTAAAATATAAGTAGAAATATATATATATCTTAGGTATAAATATTTATATTTATTAAGTATACTTAACAAAAATGTTCACCAATTAATTTTTTACTGCTTTGATTTTTAAAAAAATTGTTTATTAATATTACACATATATAATGTTATATAGAACATATATAAAAAGTTTGTGTAAGCTATTAAAAACCTGTGTATAAGAGTAATTTTATATGTGTGCGTACATGTATGGGCAGTATGTGTGTGTATAAATATTTATATTTATTATGTACAATTTTGAAACAAGCTAGAAATTATACAGGTATAATCATGTCACTTTCCCCCAAAACTTTGTCAAAAATCTATTTTATCCAGCTAGATAAAATAACAATAAAATAATAATAATAATAATAATAAAATAACTAATAATTTGCTAGGAATAAAAATGGTTGTCAAAATCAATGAATGTTTTATTTATTTATTTATAGTGGCAACTGGCAACTCAGCATTGGTTTGGACAAGTGACTGCAGTCAGCTGGTCCGAAACTGTCTTACACTTAATGTTGAATGCTAGTTTACAACAAATTTAGCCTGTTTGTTTGCCAAAGTAAATAAGGATGTACTTATTTGTTTATTTTTGTTCTTTAGGTCAACCTGTCACTTTCAAAGAGAAGCTGAAAAACCTGGTAGCCGAGGAAGGGAAGATGATAAAATTGCATTGTGAGCTTTCCAAAACCGGTGTCCCAGTAGAATGGTGGAATGGAGACGAGCTGCTCCAGCCTGGAGAGAAGTATAAGATGAAAGAACGAGACGCATCAGTTGAGCTGATCATCTGTGAGGCCGTACCTGAAGACAGTGGAGTCTACAGATGTGTCTGTGGAGACCAAAAGACCAAAGCTACAATCAAAATTGTTGGTAAGGTTTTGTTTCATTGAGTTTTTGTTATTGATACAAAATGTATCTTATTATAAAACATATGTTGGTTGCTCAGGTGCTCCAGCTACTTTTAAACAAAAACTTACGAACCAAGAAGCTCTTGAAGGGGAATCTATAACCTTACACTGTGAGCTCTCCAAAGTTGGAGTACCTGTGCAATGGTGGAGAGGAGATAAACCGCTCCTTCCAGGGCCACGGTACCAGACGAGGCTGGATGGAAGGACAGCTGAGTTGGACATAACTAATATTTTCTCTGAAGATGCTGGAATATACAGCTGTGTGACTGGAGGCCAAAAGACCACAGCTGAAGTGAAAGTCAAAGGTAAGGTCTAAAGAATGTTAAAAATATATACACAACAACTTTAAAGATTTTTTTTTCATTAATCGATTTAATAGCAAAGATGTATTAAATTGATCAAAAGTGGCAGTAAAGACATTTATGATATTATATAAGATTTCTGTTCTTTTGAACTTTCTATTCATCAGAGAATCCAGATTTTTTTTATAACGATTAACACAAAAATATTAAGCAGCACAACTGTTTTCAACATTGATATTAACCCTTAAAGACCTATACAGCCGCCGGCGGCTAAAAATAACTGTTGTTCTTAAATGTTAAAGAACTTTTGAACCGCTACTCCAATCTGTATGCTTTAAAAAGTCCCATAAAGAGGAGATTCACGGCTTTTCTGTGAAATCGGGTTAATCGCGTTTGGACATTCAGAAGCTCCGTAGTGAATGTGATTGCGTCATCAAGTTTTGATCAGCATTGATTCGTCAAAGAAACCCATGCGGTTTGTTCCTCTGAGCCAATCATGAATGACTGTTGATGCTTTGTCCCACCCTCATGCCCAGATTGGTTGAAACTATCATCTACTCAACCAATAAACATAGTTCTTGGTCTTTTGCACGAACAACTAGCATCATTCTATGGAAATTTGAACTGAGGTAAAGTGAAAGTAGTTCATATAGGCTATGTGTGTGTGTGTGTAGTGTGTGTGTGTGTGTGTGTGTGTGTGTGTGTGTGTGTTTAATACATATAAAGTTTCTTTTGCTTCAGTGTTCTATTAAAATGTTTCTATTTATTTTACTTCCTAAACTTTTTTGGACACATCTAAATTGTCAGTAAATAAAAAACACCAGCTTTTCACTGAAAATCGCCTATAATAATGTTGTAATAAATGTCTATAGCCTAACTTGCTTAGGGATTGTTACATGTAGTCAAAATTACATCTGGAAATGTAGAATATCCAAGTACAGCTTTCTAAAGGAAAAAATCCAAACTTCAGGAGGATTTGAGTTGAGTAAAAAAAATCACAAAAAATATGCTGCCGTTTTTCTTATATCTGGTAAATTCATCCATTCTAAGACAAAATAAATGTAAAATTGGATTATTTAAATGAGATAGATTGAAACTTCAAGTTCTCCTGTTAAAAATGATATATGACACTTGATGCCGACTGCTATAATGGGTTAGAAAAACAAAGAAAAGAACAGGCGGTGCAGGTGCTCCAAAAATGGTCTAGGTCTTTAAGGTCTTTAATAAGAAATGTTTCTTGAGCACCAAATCAGCATGTAAGAATGGTTTCTGAAGGATCATGTGACACTGAAGACTGGAGTAATAGCTGAAAATTCAGCTTTGAAATCATAGGAATACATTTTAAAACATTTAAAAATAGAAAACAGCTGCTTTAAATTGCAATAATATTTCACAATATTACAGAATTTAGTGTATTTTTGATAAAATAAATGCAGGCCTTATGGGCATAAGAGTCATTTTTGGGTGTTTTCACACTTGGCAGTTTTGGTTTAATTAAAACTAACTCTAAAGCGATTGTTCTGTTAATGTGGTTCATTTGAATATGAGTGAACACTTCCAAATGAACTCTGGTGCGGCTCGACTGAAAAATGAACGCAACACGGAACAAAGACATATAAATTGAACAAAAACTGGACGTGATTTCACAAGATACGACTCTAAAAAAGGACAGAATGCTCAAGCATACCTGGTTCCATATAATTTGGTACAGGTGTCAGAACAGTTTCAGCGGTTCATGAAGTCATGAAAGGCACTTCTGCCTTCGCTTTGCGGTCCTATATCCGGTTGCCTTTTTTTTTTTGGTTTGTTTTTCTTTGTTTAAGCAAATTAGTTTTTTGTTTATTTGCTCTATAACTGGTCAAACTGGTCTTAAACAAAAAATATCTGTAGCCATTTGAAATTAGATGCACCAATGCATTTTAATTATGATGATAAAGATGGTACACACATGTAGCATGAGCAGTTATTTTTGGATTTAAAGTAAAATTTAAAGTTTATATGGAGATATGAGGGAAAGAAAATGCCATCAAAGTTTTTCTGAAGACAATCAGTTCCCTTAAGAGATACATTCATATAAACCCCAACCCCCAATTCAATATTTATATATTTCTTCTTATATTTTGCGCATATACTTTGTGCCTGGTACAGTATTTTCTCTGATGGCTTGTCTGATTTCTCTTCACGTCAGTCTTCAGCACCAAAATGGTTGCAATTTCAAACCTTGTAAGGGACTGTTCGTTATTTATTTAAGGGGCCACCGGAGGAGATTTGAGATCTGTAGTCAAAAAAGACTTGACCCTCCCTTCGCCAGCAATAATTTTTTCTATGACCCTCCAAAATGATTGTGAAAAAAGGCATGACCCTCCCCGATAATTTATTGATTACTTCTGTATGGGTTTTCCGCTTGGCAAAGATGTTCAGATAGCCATTCCATGATAAACGACTAAACTCCTGCTTTCTCATCTTGCTAGGGCTGTAACGATAGACCAAACCTACAATTCGGTTCGTATCACGATTTTTTATTTGAAAATAAATAAATAAATAAATCATGTTTTCGGTGCTGATGCAGTGGTGACGCGTTCATGTAAAATGTAAGGGTGGCGCTGCCAATAAAGTATCTTAAAGCTGCCACAAAGAACCGCCAAAAGTAATGATTATGAATAATATAGCAAGGGGACATTTTAATTGTTTATTAATAAACAAGTCTTTGTCAGTGTCCTGCAAATATAAAGATGACGATGCTGACTCGCGATCTTCGCAGTAGAGAGAACGCGCCAGAGAGAAATGCACATTTCATACAAGCAGAGAGCAGTCTGTAGTCTGTTTTCTTTAGTTTTGAATTGTTCTGTTAAAAAGTAGACATGTCAAGCTTTCTATATATTTATCAGGTCTGTGAGGCAAGTAGCCTACCTTAGGCTATATGCTGAGTTTCGGTTCATTTATTAGACGAGAGTCCAGTTCACGCGCTGGAGCCTCCGTGTCATGATGATTTTCTACTATATTTACTTCTTATTTATTAAATCCAGGCAATTGGTTGATGAAACATTGATTAAAATTAAGATACAATTAATAAAAAACGAAATTCACTTTAAAGAAAGGCTTTGTGCTTTCTGTTTGAGGTCTCTGAAAGTTTTAAAGTCACTTTCAGAGCGGTCATGTCCAACGGAGAACGGTCACGTCAGTAAAAAAATTTTTCCCTCATAATAAATGCGAACATGAAAAAAATAAAAAGAATATTTTGTGTTATGTGTATTAACAGTCTCAAACCAGGACAATTCGATGGTTGTTGTGGTTATGTCGTTATTTCGACATATGTGTGCATCATGCAACAATCAAGATGTGCATTTGTAAATCCAGCTATATTTGCTTCTTATTAATTAAATCCAGGCAATTGGTTGATGAAAAATTGATTAGAATTAAGATACAATTTATACAAAACGAAATTCACTTTAAAGAAAGGCTTTCTAAAAAACAAAACTTAATGAAGTGGTCAAAATCATGTCTGGCCATGTCTCCCGATATATTGCGTAGGCTATACTTTTCATAATCAACATAGATGGAAAAAAAACAACATTATAATAAATATGAAACTAAATGCGCTTATTATGGCTACAACACATATACAGACTCTATTTGTACAAATTGCTGCAAATTCATTTAATTCTGAATTTTGCACACAAGTTAAAAGGCATTTGTTTGTGCATGGTAAAACATATCTGCAACATCAAGTTCACTGATAATTGTGCATGCATTTATTAATCATTATGATACTAAAATCATAATAAAGTAGTAGGCTTCCCTTTCAATAGTCCAAATTCGCGGTGGCGCTGCCATTGTCTTTCTTCAGTGGATTTCTTCAGCTCCTGATTTGTCAAATTCAGATAAATCGACACATCGGCTCATTCAACTGCACAGCGCACACACCTCACGAATTCAAGCCTACAGCTCCCGAACTTTTTAGACATGTTTAAAAATTATCGTGAGGTCGAGAGGTTCGGCTCGGCTCGTATCTTCCTAGCACACAACATGAGCCGCAACATGCGAGCACAACCGATTTCCACGCGATTACTCCCGAGTGAAAAAAAATAATCTGCGAGTTCGTAAAACAGCAAAAAATCGCACCGTGTAAGCCCGCCTTAAGGGAGTATGAATATATAAACAGACGTTTCAGTATTAAATGCATTTTCTTAGAATTTATATTTCAAGTTTTGACTGCAAATGTCAGTCCATAATGCTGGAATTGCCCACTTTTAAAGAATTTATCCTCAACTAGTTTTTTTTTTTGGTGTAGGTCTACGTATTTTATTATGTTAACTTCAAATAATACTAATAGTAGGCTAATTTAAAAATGTGGTAGCCCTATATCCAACACATCACACTCCACTGATATGGTGGCATTTCAGTAGATTTACTCACTAACATTGCTGTGGAAACACAATAAGAATGGAAACTAAAATAGTATCGTGCTACAGCGCACATCAGCTGCAGTTCTGGCGCCTCAGTCCCATTACTGTAAAACTCGACGTACATTCACATCACATGTTAATGCCGCGGTAACACTCACAGGACACTGCACTTATTCGCAATCACAAAAGTTCATTATTTGCTCGTGCTTTAAAGCTTTGCCGGGTAAACATTACTTTGGCGTTCTGTTCTAATACACTTTTTCTGAGCGCGTACTGAAGTGCGCGCGCACTGTCAAACAGCGCCAAACTGGATTTTTGTTGGGTCAGACCATAGATAGCGATGGGGGGCCGAGACCGAGAGAGCTACATAAAGCTACATGGAAAAAATATGCACCAAACAAGCCACTTTGAAATTTAGCTGTTTTAATGAATACAAAAGTTGGGTGACCCTCCCCTATAGACTAAAAAAAGTTGGATGACCCTCCCCTCAACAAAGAATAAAAACACATGACCCTCCCCTATTTTCCTCCGGTGGCCCTTTCCATAAATACCGAACGGTCCCTAAAAGCTTTTTTTTTTTTTTATCTTTAACTAAATGAATTATTTTGAACACACCATAAATCTTACAGACTTTTGAACGATAGCGTATATATCATGATTTCTGCTTGTGAGGTAATGGTTTATATTAAAAGACCAAAAATGTCAATATTTTCTCAGCTCGTCCGATTACATTCAATCGAGAGCTTCAGAACCAGGTGTCTATAGAGGGTGAGAGTGCAGTATTTACCTGTGAGCTTTCAAAGCCTGGTGCTCCAGTCGAATGGAGGAAAGGTAGAGTAATTCTGAAAGCTGGAGCCAAATATCATACGAAACTGGAGGGACGATTAACCAAACTGGTGATAAATAATCTTGTTGAGGATGATGCAGGAAATTACACCTGCAAAACCAAAGATTCACAATCAACAGCCAAATTGATGGTTCAAGGTAATATCCGAATTACTGCTGAATTTTTGACATTGTGGATTTCATATGCATTTCATTTTCATGACCATGTGATTTTTTTTTCTAGCACTGAGTGATCAAGTTCTTCCATTTCATTTAAAATGGCCATTACCTCCACAGCTACTACCCTAGTCAGGTTATGCGATAATGAATTTAACAAGGATGAAATCGAGGTTGTGAGGGATAGACTTACAGTCTTTACTTTGGCAGGCACTATATAAAGGCACTAGATCACGTAATTTTCAAAACTTTTTCAAAACTGTTACTCGCAACTTTCAAAACTGTTAGTCAAAGGGAGTTCTTGTCTTCTGAATTTTTTTCTGAAAGACTTTTGGTCAACTGAACAATCAGCATGTTGAACGCACTGTACTTCTAAGTTCTAACCCTCACAGTCTTATTTTCATTCCTGGCTAAAATTCAATTTGGTGCTACCCTGATTAAGGTCTATCTATAGCATGCTGTAATGGCGTTACACAAGCCCACTACATAGGTTTAATTAATCTCTCAACAGTGATATAAATCACTGTTGGATTTTCATTACATGATGTTTAAATTCATACCCTCTAATTACACTCCATATTTGGCATCAGAGGAGTCTTGATATGACAAATCCCTTGATATATTATTGGTTGATAAAAACTGTAACGTAGAAATGCAGCTTTTGTCGGGATTTTCCCCAATTCATTACAACTTGGGCTGGTTATGAAGAGCTATAGTGTGTTCGTGTACATAACGCATAAATAAAATATACCCCAATTCATTTAGATGATAGATGAACCCCAATTTATTTTAGGTTTTGCTAGTTATTAAAGTTGATTGAGCACAAAAAGTGTCTACTGGTAAGTTTTTGGTAACACTTTGGTGGGAAGACACAACATTCACACTTTTGAAGAGCCTATAACTTTCAATACATGAAAACCGGCTTTTTTTTATTTTTTAATTCTTGGCTTTCTGAAGGACTCCCTGCTACCTTTAAAGCAACTCTGAAGAACCAGGAACCTCAGGAGGGGAACAGTGTCACTTTGCACTGTGAACTTTCTAAGCCAGGAGTTCGAGTAGAGTGGTGGAAAGGAGAAGAAATGCTCAAGACTGGAGAAAAATATCAATTGAGACACAAAGAAGCAAAAGCTGAACTGCTAATAAGGAAGGCACAACCAGAAGACAGTGGAGTTTATCGATGTGTCTGTGAAGATCAAAAGACCGAAGCCACCATCAAAGTTAATGGTATGAATGTGTTCCAGGAAGTTTTCAAATTCAAGTTCCTGTAATTGAGCATTAGCCAATTTTTGCTAGAAATAATCTATGAAAAGATTTGATCGAAAACATGATCAGATATGCAATATCTGCTTTGTATAGCTCTCCCCATCACTTTCAAACAAGAACTTATGAATCAAGAGGGTGAAGAAGGGAACAACGTCACCTTGCGCTGTGAGCTCTCAAAGGCCAGTGCTGGTGTGGAGTGGTTGAAGGGAGAAGAAGTACTTAAGCCTGGAGAAAAGTACCAGATGAGACAGATTGCAACTAAAATGGAGCTTGTTATCAGGAAAGCCATACCTGAAGACAGTGGAGTCTACTTTTGTGTGTGCCCTGATCAGACATCCAAAGCAACGGTTAAAATCAATGGTACGAACCTCAATCAAACGATTTTATAATTGCCAATTTTGACAAATATTCTCCTTAGGTGACACAAATATATTTATGATTTCTTAGCTTTCCCAATCACGTTCAAACAAAACTTGAGAAATCAAGAAGTGGTGGAGGGCAACACTGTTGCTTTGCGTTGCGAGCTTTCCAAACCGGGCGCCTCTGTGAAATGGTGGAGGGGTGAAGAGATGCTGCGAGTTGGAGAAAAGTACCAGATGAGGATCGAGGGAAGGATTGCTGAACTACTTATCAAGAATGTCAACTCTGAAGATATAAGCTCCTACAGCTGCACTACGGGAAAGGAAAAGACAACAGCAGAAGTCAAAGTCAAGGGTACGCTCTACTACTGCAAGATCAGATATTGTTATACTTTAGTAATAGCTTTCCTCTTTCAAATCATTCTCAAACTTAACTTGAACACATTTTTCATGGTTTCCATAGCTCTACCCGTCACTTTTAAACAAGAACTCCAAAACGAAGTAACTAAAGAAGGTGGGCAAGCTGTGTTAAGGTGTGAGCTCTCTAAACCCGGCACTCAAGTAGACTGGAGAAAAGGAAGAATTATTCTCAAACCCAATGACAAGTATGAAATAAAGCAAGAGGGAACATTCACCAAACTGGTCATACATAATGTTGAAGCAAGTGATGCTGGGAGCTATTCATGTAAAACCAAGGATTCTGAGACAACTGCTGAGCTAACCGTTAAGGGTAAGGCATGCAGACGTTTTGCAGAGGCGGCTTGGCACATTTTGGTCTTTTTGGCTTGCTATTCATGGGAGCCATTCATGTAAAACCAAGGATTCTGAGACAACTGTTGAGCTAACCCATAAGGGTAAGGCATGCAGACTTTTTGCAGAGGCGGCTTGGCACATTTTGGTCTTTTTTGGCTTGCTGTTTTTTATTATTGCTTCTTGTGCTATGGTCTTCTGCTTCACTGTGCTTTGAGGGCCTGCATGGTTGTGTTGTGAAATAATCAGGCATATCTCATTTGGTTGACGTTTCCAGTTCCACCGATCACTTTTAAAGTCAAGTTGAAAAATCAGGAAGTTGAAGAAGAAAATACACTCGTATTACACTGTGAGCTCTCAAAAGCTGGATGTCCTGTTGAATGGAGAAAGGGGGAAGAGCTCCTCAGATCTGGGTATAAGTATCAAATCAGGGAATGTGATGTTACAAGGGAGCTGATCATCATGAAAGCCTTGCCTGAAGACAGTGGAATCTACATATGCATTTGTGGGGAGCAGAATACCAAATCTACAGTCAGAGTGTTCGGTATGGATAAAGGTTTTAAAAGAAAATTGAGCTTTTATTGTCGCTTACGCTCACAATGAGCTAACATGCTAATGTGCTACTCTTCAGCCACACCAGTAACGTTCAAACAAAACCTGAAGAACCAAGAGGCTCCTGAGGGAGGTGTTGTTATTCTGCACTGCGAGTTGTCCAAGGCTGGGGTACCAGTAACATGGTTGAGAGGGGACGAGGAGCTCAGCAATGGAACTAAATACAAGATCAAGCAGGAGGGATTGGTTGCCGAATTATACATTAAAAATGTCATTCCTGTGGATGTTGGGGAATATAGCTGCATTGTTGGAGACCAGAAGACAACAGCTGAAGTTAATGTTAGGGGTAGGTCCAATGCAGCTTTAATGACCTTCTCATTGAGTTCACACAAGGTAACATTGTGTCTTTACCCAATATCTTGACAACATTTTAACAGTGCTGTAAACAATGTATGATACCCAGGGGCCAATGAGGGGGTGCAGGGGCATGGGGCATTCAAACTGGTTACATTTATTTTAAGGCAAATTAAGAGGATTTAGTTTCCATTCAGTAGCCTCAAGATATAAATTTAAAATATAGTGAAATAGTAATGAAATATAATGAAATAGTATTTCAAATTAAAATAATATTTCACTATATTACTGTATTTTCACTGTTTTTCACTGTTTTATTTTTGGTAAATGCAGCCTTGGTGAGCCTAAGAGACTTTTTTCAAAAACATTTTTTTTAAATCTTACATCTTACTGACCAAACGATTAAATGGTAATGTATTTCCATTTAAATAGAATCTGGTAAAACAAAACTCCCCTAGAATGATAAAAAAAAATCTTCAAACCCCTCCGTTACTGTAATTAGGGTCCCCCAACTGAACCTCTGCCATTTCCACAACTGTTGATTCCCTCATGATCCTTTCACAAACCCTGTATGATACCCCTTCATGAATCACAGCATCATACACGCATAGTGTCATTTCATATCATAAACTCTACCAGTTAATAACATACACAAATTCTAATTTGCAAAATACTTTTGAGCTGTTGTTGAGATCATATTTTTCCTCACACCTCTCACAGCTGCTGCCTCTGTGTTCTTTGAGAAAGAGCTTGAGAGTCAAGAAGCAATAGAAGGGGAATCTGTCCTGTTTAGTTGTTTACTCTCTAGCGACAATGCCCCAGTGACCTGGAGAAAAGATGCAAATCAGATCACACAGGGTGGGCGATATACCCTCCACCGTAAAGGTGCCACTCAGGAGCTCGAAATCAGGAAACTGAGAATGGAGGACGCTGGCGTGTACACATGCAGCGTCAGAGGCAAGAAGACGTCTACAACCCTCAGAGTGATAGGTACACTAAATCATAACAAGCCTACATAAATTCAACAATAAAATTCAGTTTGCTTTCAAACACAATGAATTTCAAGGACTTTCAATGTTACCTTTACAGAGCGTGTGAGGATTGTGAAAGGACTGCGTGACTTGGCGGTTACTGCAGGCGAGAGCGCCCGCTTTGTGTGCGAACTTTCACACGAGAACATCCTTGACGGGGTTTGGTGGCTTGGTTCCAATGTACTGCAGGAGAACGAGATGAACCAGATGAGTATCTGTGGCAAAGAACACCAGCTGGTGCTCACTATGACCACACCTGAAGAGTCAGGTGTTGTGTCCTTTGTGGTGGGAAATGAAAAGACTTCTGCTCATCTCCGTGTAAACAGCAAACCTAAAGGTGAGAGTAAGGATACAATTTCTTTTTTTTTTAAGACATTTAATTTTAGTGTAAACGGCAGAAATACAATATTGATATAGAAAAGTATACCAAATGCAATTAGTTGATTTAACTTTACACTCTAGAGTGCATTCTCTCTTTATAGTTTTCATTGAAGAAAACCTGAAAGACATGACCATTTTTGAGGGAGATTCTGCCACCCTGTGCTGTGTGACTTCTGACTCCTGCACACTTATAACCTGGAAACGAAATAATGTAACCCTGCTCCCTGGGGAAAAGTATGAACCTCTGAAACATGGGAAACGAAATATTCTTCTAATTCACAAAGTCAGAAAAGAGGATGCTGGGATTTACATGTGCGATACAGGAGACATGCAGAGTAGTGCTACTCTTACAGTCAAAGGTAAGGAACTGCTTGAAACACATTTGCTCTAACTATAAAGACTAGAAAATTATAACTATAAATATATATATATATTTTTAAACTTGATTTATCACCATTTAAACATGTTATACATATTTTAATAATAGTAATAACATTAACAATAATTTATTATCATTATTATATTTATTATTAATAGTAATAATAATATGTGATACATACATCAATTTTAGTATGTGTTGTCATATTTTTAAAATGTGATTTATTAAAATATTTATTTTTTAATTAATACATTGATAGTTCCTTACTTTTATTTTTTAAGTCACACTCCTAGTCACACTCCACCATATTTCAGTTGTTGTCGGTCACAAAAAAGTATTGTTTCAGAGAAGGAAATTTTCATGGTAGATTTACCCGTTGTAATGCTTTAAACACTTTACAATAAGGTTTTATTTGTTAACATTAGTAAACTATGTTAGTTAACATGAACTAACAATGAAAAATACTGTGAACTGTGAACTATCATGAACAATGAGCAATTGTAATTTTATTAACTAACATTAACAAAGTAAAATTCTAAATTCTGTACAAAATATATTGCTCATAGTTAATGTTTTTTGATGCATTAACTAATGCATTAATTGTAAATTGTTACTGCTTATTCTTATCAGAACTTGACTCTTTACAAATCAGTATACAAAGTGAATTTGTACAATATTTATTGGAAATGGCACATATACTTAAAGGTGCTCTAAGCGATGTCGGGTGACGTCACTTCTTGTTGACGTTCGAAGAATTGTCAAACAAAACTGAGGCTAGCTAGACCCTCCCTCCTCCTCATCCCGTCCCCTCCCCATGTAGTTTTACTGATACTTCATTCAAGGTGTAATTTCGCCAATTTAGATAAATACTTTCATATAATGCAGAACAGAATGCAGAAAAAGAAACATTACCAGAAAAACACGATAAAACGTTTCGCCACCTAAGGTTATAACTTTAGTTCCCATACAAGGACGCAATAATAGCAAGATAACGTTAACTTCGCGTTTCCAAGTGAGCATAAACAACGGCTCCGTCGTAAACAAATTTAGTCAAAGTTGCCAAAAGGCTATGAATGAACATTCAAATTCATAACAAACAATTGGTGAAATAATCTTTCACACAAACTGTCGCCCTACTGTGAGTTTGCTTGATCATTTACAATAGAGATCGATAGCTGCTAGAAACATATGTTGTATTCACCAAACTTAGCGCTGACTGCATTGTTCTAGCTAATTATATCCTTGTCTTCTCCGATGTAAATTCGGGACTTTGCGCGTTTCTTATTCTTTTCCCTCTTTGCTGTTTGTTCATCGGAACGTCGTCTCTTTGGTTGTGTGTCGGCCATGTCAAACTTAAAGAGAATATAATTCAAACTTCCCTCTTCATGCTTCTCTCTCCTCCATCATTCCCATCATCTCCTTCATGTGAACGCGCACTAACCCCCCAAACCCTTCTTGTAGGTTATTGGCTGGAACACTGTTTGTTATGTTCCGTGGAGTGGGTTGCCCTGGCAGAGACCGCGTTTTTTTACAGTGTGTTCAGGGGACAGGCAGCTAGCGGATAGTGAGGAGATGTTTGCTGTATGAGACAAAAAATGTTTTGGCCTAAAAAACGCGTGAATTCGCTTAGAGCACCTTTAAGGGTTCTTTGCTTAATTTCAGAGCGTCCTTTGTTTTTCTGCGGGGAGCTCCAAAACCAAGAAGCAGAAGAGGGTGAGACTACTTTCTTGTGCTGTGAGCTGTCTCAACCTGGAGTTGCAGTTGAGTGGAAGAAGGGAGCAGTTCTGCTTAGACCGGGTAACAAATATGATATCAAACAGGATGGATGTGAGCTACAGCTACAGATCAATGACCTCACAAGTCAGGACAGTGGGGCCTACAGGTGTTGCGCCGATGGCATTGAGACAAGGGCCAGTATTACTGTGAAAGGTATGAACCAAAATAATTGCTTTTCTATACATATTGTATTTGATTTTGAGGATTTGATCTATGCATAAACTGAATGTCAGTAAATTAGTGAAAATATTCAGTGGCACTTTATAAGATCTATTCATTAAATACAAGCATTTTTTTGCATAATGAATTTTTTTTTTTACCACTGTTTCTTCTCCTCTGATACCACAGAGCGCCCTTTGTTTTTCTGTGAAGAGCTTCAAAACCAAGAATTAGAGGAAGGTGAAACGGCTTTCTTGTGCTGTGAGCTCTCTAAACCCGGAGTATCAATACAGTGGAAGAAGGGGGCAATGCTCCTGAAGAATGGACAAAAGTATGCAATGATCCAAGAGGGCAATGAAGTACAACTTCAGATCCATGACCTCACAAGTCAAGACAGTGGCATCTACAGATGCTATGCTGGCAATCTAGAAACACGGGCTAATATTATTGTCAAAGGTAGGTATGTACAGTATAACGTGCCATAACAGTTATGGTTTATATTTAAATTTATCAGTATCAGTTGATATTGAATATTTGATTGTTTGAACTGTAATGTTTTATTTTTAATGTGAAAAAAAGTATAGAATTTTAATACTGGTCAGTTTTTAGTTATTGGCCATAACATGAAAATGATTATTGGTTAGTTAGTATTAAACAAGATGTTAATATCAGTGTATCCTTAAAGGTTTGCAACAGAGTGTTTGTATAATGATAATCTGGGTTTTTAATTAAGGCATGGAAATTCATCTGTCTTTATGCTGCATGTTTACTAAAAGACAAAACGAACATCAAGTTAACATTAATTTACTCTCCCTTTTCAGATCAACCTCTTTTCTTCTGTGAGGAACTCCATAACCAGGAGGCAGAGGAGGGTGAGATAGCCTTCCTTTGCTGTCAGCTGTCTAAACCTGGAGTTGAAGTGCAGTGGAAGAAGGGAGCAATACGACTGAGACCAGGAAACAAATATGAGATGAAACAAGATGGCTGCAAAGCACAGCTACAGATCCATGACCTGACACGTCAGGATAGTGGCACTTACAAGTGCTGCTCTGGAAGCCTGGTTACCACGGCATCAGTTGCAGTCAAAGGTGAGAGCCGTGACATTAGAGGGTCATACTAAGGGTTTGTGTGTATTTGTCTTTTTTGATTTTCTGTATTTTTACACTGAATGTCATCAGGTCTTTGATCAAAACCTATGAATGCATTCAAGTGACCGTTCATGGATAAAAAGCACAATAATTATATATGTATTCAAAAAATGAAATGAAATACATACTGTATTTATATTTTCTTATTTATTTTCAATTTATTTTTCAGAACAACCTTTGTACTTCATCAAGATGCTTGAGTGTCAAGAAGCAGAGGAGGGGGAAACTGCCTTTCTTTGTTGCGAGCTTTCAAAACCTGGGGCTACCGTAAATTGGAAGAAGGGATCTGTGCTGCTAAAGCCTGGAAGAAAGTATGAAATAAAGCAGAATGGTGGTGAACTGCAACTTCAGATCCATGAGCTCACAAGCCAAGACAGTGGTGTCTACACATGCTGTGTTGGTAGTCTAGTGACCTCAGCATCTCTGGAAGTGAAAGGTATAGTATATTCAATGTAGATGAGTTGCTAGAATACACATTAATAAACATTAACATACTTATTTTCTGCATCCAGAACAACCTCTGTATTTCTGTGAGGAGCTCCGAAGACAAGAAATAGAAGAAGGTGAGACTGCCATTCTGAGCTGTGAGATCTCTAAAACTGGAGTGGAAGTGCAGTGGAAGAAGGGAATGCGGTTGCTTCTACCAGGAAACAAATATGAGACTAAGCAAGATGGCTGTAAATTACAGCTTCTTATACATGAGTTGAACAGTCAGGACAGTGGCATCTATAAATGTTGTGCTGGTAGCTTGGTGACCACAGCTTCTCTTGACGTGAAAGGTGTGTATTTTTATGTAATGAAGTTGTTAAAATTTCAGTTGGACATTATTGAGATTTTTTTATTTTCCCTCACCAGAACATCCATTGTTCTTCTCTGAGGAGCTCCAAAACCAAGAAGCAGAGGAGGGTAACACAGTCATATTGGACTGTGAGCTCTCTAAACCTGGAGTTTCAGTGCAGTGGAAGAAGGGAGCAGTAATACTTAAGCCTAGTCAAAAATATGAGATTAAACAAGATGGCCATCAACTACAGCTTCAGATCCATGCAATAACAGCTCAGGACAGTGGGCCCTACAAATGTTGTGCTGGAAGCTTGGTCACAACTGGTTCTCTTGAGGTAAAAGGTAAGTCATTTTTTCAAATGGCATTCAATGACACCAAGTCAGTGGTTCTTAACCAGGAGGCTGGGACTCAGATTATTTTTTATAACAAATATACATCTTTGTAGTTATGCCAAGCTCTAAAATACTTTATTGGGTAGAAATTTTGAGTGTGTGCGGCTTCAAATATTGTTGTGTACAATGGGGGGGGGGGGGGGGGGGGGGGTACTTAATATTACTCTGTACTTATTTGAGTAAGTACAATGTAACTACGTCAACTTAAATAGCTGCCATTTTTCTACATTTTGATCGTAAGAAATAATTAATTGACTTAAGAATTAATTAATTAATCTTATCATGTGTTCATTTGTTTTTTGATGAACATGTAAAAGCATATATGATTTTGTTTTCCCTCTCCAGAAAAGCCATTGTTCTTCTCTGAGGACCTACAAAACCAACAAGCAGAGGAGGGCAGGACAGTAATATTGCGCTGTGAGCTCTCTAAACCTGGAGTTTCAGTGCAGTGGAAGAAGGGAGCAGTGATACTCAAGCCTAGTAAAAAATATGAGATAAAACAGGATGGCCATCAACTACAGCTTCAAATCCATGAGTTAACAGCTCAGGACAGTGGGCCCTACAAATGTTGTGCTGGGAGCCTGGTCACAACTGGTTCTCTTGAGGTAAAAGGTAAGTCATTTTTTCAAATGGCATTTTCCCACATTTTGAACTTTAACATACGAATGACATTGGAAATAATTAATTAATCTGTTCATGTGTGTATTTATTGTTGTGGTTTTTTTTTGTTGAACATGTAAAGACATACATATTTTTGTTTTCCCTCTCCAGAACAGCCATTGTTCTTCTCCGAGGAGCTCCAAAACCAAGCAGCAGAGGAGGGTGAGACAGCCGTATTGCGCTGTGAGCTCTCTAAACCTGGAGTTTCTGTTCAGTGGAAGAAAGGAACAGTGCTTTTGAAGCCTAGCACAAAATATGAGATTAAACAGGATGGCCGTCAACTACAGCTTCATATACATGAGCTAACAGCTCAGGACAGTGGGCCCTACAAATGTTGTGCTGGGAGCCTGGTGACTACTTGCTCTGTTACAGTGAAAGGTATGGAATGTGTTTCAGAGAAACTTCTGAATTACCTTATAGTCTTTCCATGTACCATTCTGACAACATTGCTTGCTATTGAACCAGGATATTCTGATAATTCCTTAAGAGCACTTTTTGTGAATAAAGCCACAAATTTTAAAAACATTAAATGTATTTTTATTTCCCCACATCCAGAGCAACCTATATTTTTCTGCAAGAACCTCCAAAGCCTTGAAGCTGAGGAAGGTAAAGCGACTGCCCTGACCTGTGAGCTCTCTAAACCTGGAGTTGCAGTGCAGTGGAAGAAGGGAACAGTGTTGCTGAAACCTGGAAACAAGTATGAGATGAAACAAGATGGTTGTCTTCTGCAGCTTCAAATATATGACCTGAAAATTGGAGATAGTGGCTCTTATAAATGTTGTGCTGGTAACATGGTGACGACTGCTTCTCTTGTAGTGAAGGGTAAGGGAATTCATTTAAATGTAGTTTTCCATCTTTTTTTAATAGAGGAATCAATTCATTGATCTTTTCATGTGTACTTTTTTTCTTTTTAGCATGTAAAGACATAAGCATTTTTGTTTTCCCTCACCAGAACATCCATTGTTCTTCTTTGAGGAGCTCCAAAACCAAGAAGCAGAGGAGGGTAAGACAGCTATATTGCGCTGTGAGCTCTCTAAACCTGGAGTTTCAGTGCAGTGGAAGAAGGGAGCATTGATACTCAAGCCAAGTAAAAAATATGAGATTAAACAGGATGGCCATCAACTACAACTTCAGATCCATGAGTTAACAGCTCAGGACAGTGGGACTTACAAATGTTGCGCTGGGAGCCTGGTGACTAATGGTTCAATTACAGTGAAAGGTACAGATATTATTTGAGTGCAACATCTGCCGTTTCTAATGTTTTGTCCATGTAGAACTTATTTTATACATGAAGAACCCAAATTTTATTTTTACTTCTGCATGTACAGAGCAACCTATATACTTCTGCAAGATACTTCAAAGTCTTGAAGCTGAGGAAGGTGAAACGGCGTTCTTGACCTGTGAGCTCTCTAAACCTGGAGTTCCTGTGCAGTGGAAAAAGGGAACAGTGTTGCTAAAACCAGGAAACAAGTATGAGATTAAACAAGATGGCTCTAAATTACACCTTCAAATCCATGATCTAAAATGTCAGGACAGTGGTGTCTACAAATGCTGTGCTGCTAGGATGGAGACAACAGCTTCTCTTGTTATAAAAGGTACATTTATTCCTATATTTTGAAAATAAGTAAGTAATTAAAAATAATAAAAAATCTAAATAAATAAGTAATGTTGCATTTCCATTATTTACACCAGAAGCTTCCCCTAGAAGTAAAGACATCCCTCAAGCCCCACTAAGATCAAAAGGGCAAAAAATTATGGAAGAAACACACAGTGGTCTAGTGCATAAGAAACAGGCTGTGGTCATTGAGGAATCAGACATCTCTATTTTGGAGCCATCAGAGGTTCACTTCCAGGTTCTCTGTGAGAAACTGACAGATGACCAGGACGTCAAGAGCAAATCATTGGTGAGACAAAAGGGAAAAGATGCGAGTTCCAAAATGATTAACGTGTCTAGTTGCACCATGGAAGAACCTGAAATTACTTCTCTTACAACCAATGCACCTGAAGAACAAAGAAAAAAAGTGGTTGACATTGGATCCAAAGAGGTAACTAAGGTTTCTGTGGACCAGAACAATGAAAAGATCTCAGGGCAAGTTCAGAAGAAAACTTCAAGCATAGATACAAATGATCAGAGCAAGGAACCACCCAGAAATGTTCCCCAGCCTCCACCACGGTCAAAGAGTAAGGCTTCACACCAAGACCAGTACAGTGTTTTTGAAGCAAACAACCAGAGTGTTAAAGATCTAACTGTTGACAAGAAGGGCAAGAAACAAGATGTTGTAATGGAGCCCACTGTGGAGACCAAAATAACATCAAAACATGCTGACCTAACACCATCTTTCTCTAAGGAGAAGGTTTCCCAGCCACATGTTGAAATCAAAAGGCAACCCTATGTTTTGGAAGCAAAGAATCGAGATATGGACATAAAACAAACTGTGGATACCACTTTAAAGATATCAGATTATGGCTTAGATCCACCAGTCTTCAAAGAGTTAACGGCCAAACATGTTAAAGCATCTAAAGAACAACCATATAATTTAGAGGAAAGGAAGGAGTATATCAAATTGGAATCGAGTGTAAATAAAGAATCAAAGAAAGAGCTAATTGTGGACTCCATATCTAAGCCATCAGAGGTTGGTGAATATCCCGTCAGTATGAATGAAAAGAAGGAAACAAAAAAGAAATCATTGGATGAAAATGAAATGCACAAGAAGCAAAATGTCCAGTCTGAAATGGGACCAAAAATTGAAAAGGTTCAGTCCCAGGATGAACATCATGGAAAAATAACAAAGAATGTTAAAGAAAAAGCACCAAGCATTGCCATTACAGGCCAGAAACCCAAAGAGCAAATAAGTCTTGTACAGAAAACCACAACATTGACCGTTAGGGATGTGCAGAGGGATTCACTAGAAGGTGAAACAGATTTACCACACATTGATAGTGGAGATCTGAAAAATGTAAAGCAGATTGTGGATGAACATCATGGAAAAGTACCAAAGAATGCTACAGAAAAAGCTACAAAAACTGCCACTGCAAGCCAAAAATTCAAAAAAGAAATTATTTCTGCAGGGAAAGCTACAACATTGTCCGTTAAAGATGTGCAGAGAGATTCACAGGTAGGTGAACCGAATTTACCAGACATTGATAGTGGAGATCTGAAAAATGTCAAGCAGGTTGTGGATGAACATCATGGAAAAGCACCAAAGCATGTTACAGGAAAAGCAACAAATATTGCCTTTAAAAGCCAGAAATTCAAAGAAGAAATAATCCATGCAGAGGAAGCTACAACAGTGTCCTTTAGGGATGTGCAGAAGGTGTCACCGAAAGTTGAGCCGAATTTACCACACATAGAAAATGGAGTTCAGAAAAATGTTAAGCAAGTCGTTTTTGAAGTAGATGTTTCTGGGGAATCTGTAATTCAACCTGAGGAGACAACGCTAGAGCAGATCACAAATGTGGATACTGGCAAACAGAAGTGTTCTCGAGTTGAGCACGATAATGTTGACAGCCCTGGTATAGACATAGATTTTGAGGATGAGCCAGAGATACGTGAGGCTGCCATAAAGATACAAGCTGCTTTCAAAGGTTACAAAACTAGGAAAGACATGCGTCTAGTCTTCAAAGAAGTGTTCAAGAACCAGAATCTTGATCTTGGTGGCACTGCAGTCCTGGAGTGTGTTGTGGAAGGTAAAATCGACACTATGCGCTGGCTTAAAGATGGAATAGATCTGAGACCTGGGAAAAGGTACAATATCACCCAAAATGCAGATGGTAGGTGTTTTCTAGAAATTTCCAGGGTTACAAACAAAGATGCTGGAATCTACACATGTGAAGTTGCAAACAAGTTTGGAGCAATTAGTTACAATGGGAATGTGATGGTGGGTAAACCTCAGAAGCCATCACAAACAATTCAGACTGCACAAACACCAGATACAGAAATTGTCTCTGAGAAAGAGATTGCTCCAGTCCTAAACACTGAAGAGGAGTCATTGAGACTCGTCTATGATCTCCCGGCAGATGACACCTACAGCAAGATCAAGGAGAAAAGGAGAAGTCTAATTTCAGTCAGCTCCAGTGAGTTGTGTTTATCATAGATAATAGTAGCAATAGTAGGGCTGCAATAATATTAAATTCTGGCTGAGACCAATAAAAGTATAATTATTTAATATTATGTCATGATAGATAACCGAGTAATGGCAGCTAACTGAAAAATATAAATGAAGTAAAAGTTAAACGCTAAAAACAAAAATTATTAATTTTAAATGCTATAAGTAAATTAAGGCTAAAAAAGTTTTTCCTAAAGATTAACTAAGTAGTGTTAGACTACTGCAAAAGTAATCTTAACATAAAAATAAAGGAATATAGCCAATATTGACCGAAGCCTTGAAGTCTTGATATCTGCAGATAACTGATAAATATACAGGTATACATCAATAGTAGCTGAGCTTGTTTCTTGTAATTCTGTCCCCTCTCTAGTATCCTGTTACTCAGATTATGACACAGCCCCTGATGTTGAGACTGAATGCCAATCTACGTAAGGACTTTTAATTATAAAGAAAGATGGCAGCGTAGAATAATTTTTTCCTTTTCTGTACTTTGGGATAATACTTTGCAATGTATTTAAATTAATGTTTTCAAACAGGGGAAAAGAGGCAGAGAAGTCAAAAAATAAGTCTCCTACTAAGACTTCTGAAGAAGAAAAAAGTGCTAGTTTACAACCTCGAAAGACTTCAGACCAGCTGAAAGGGAAAGGTCAGTTCTCTTGGTGCTGCAAGGCATTTAGTAAAGTCCAGAGATATTGAAATAATATGCACTCAAGAGCATATTAAAAAGCTTAATATACTGTACTCTTCTGTATTGTTGCGTTTTTGGCATAGGTTGTGATTCACAGAGTCACACACCGTCTCCCAAACGCCTACATCCCTACAAGCCTTCTGCAAATACTGAGTCATTCTCTGAGTCAGATGGAGATGATGACAGAGGAGAGGTATTATCTCAGCTTCTTGATAATAAAGCAACTAGCAATAATAATAAATAAAAAAACTTCATTTATAGGCACTTTTTGTGCATGTTGTAGCTCATATTGCTTTAGGAACAAGTGGAAAGTAAACACAACAAACAAACACTGATATACAGTACATTCTGCAGATATTTGATATTTATGTGGCCAAAACCAATTGTCATCCTCTGGGAGGAAACAAAGAAGCTTTTGTACTAAAGGAAGGCCAATTTGTGGAGGTCCTGGACTCAGCCCATCCTGTGAGGTGGCTTGTCCGTACTAAGCCAACCAAGATTACACCATCCCGTCAGGGCTGGGTATCCCCGGCGTACCTAGAAAAGAAGACAAAGGTGAGTGAGTGAATGTGTGTGTGTGTGTGTGTGTGTGTATACAGTTTAAATAGCAATGCATTGGTGTAAAAGGTTGTTACATTTATCTTAATCTTTCGACTTGTTTTCTCAAAGGAAATATTTTCATTGGCCCATGAAGCAGAAAAGGGAGAATCCCCTGAGAAAGGCAAAACAAGGATAACAAAGGATGAGCATGGCTTGATTCAAAGGTAAACTGAACTGAATAGAATACACAAAGACAAAGTTATAGAATGTGGCTGGGGCAATGTCAACCTGAAGTTCATCAAACGAGAGGAGAGTATTACAATTGTGTGAATTTGAGAATGTGCAGTGCTAGTATTATTTAAATACTATTATAGTAATGTTTAATATTTTGAGCAGTATTGCCTACTATTATAGTATTCATATATCTTTATTATTTTTATATTTTCAGTTTTTAAATTTTCATTTAAGTTTTAGTCATTTCATGTGCTTTTGTAATTTTTCTTAGTTTATCATATTTATTTATTTTTTTAGGTGTAGTAATTTTAGTACTTCAACTTAAAATAGTTTTATTTCAGTTAGTTGCAAAGACAACACTTCTAATATTTGTTAAACTATTTTAAGTTTAGGTTTTTCATCAATTGTATTTAATTTCAGTCTTATTTCAATGACTGAAAATGATTTGTTTAACAATAACAACACTGGAAAGCATGCACAGATCAATGTCTTTATTGTCTATATTAGCAGGTTTTGTGGAAAGCTAAATTGTCTATCTTGACTCTTTTTTTCTTTCTTTTTTTAACTTCTAGTCAGTTGATCAAGGGACTCCTTGATGGCGAGAACAGTTTTGTGCAGGAGATGAACTTCTTTGTGGAGCACTTTTTGCAGAACTTAGATACGAGCTTTCAAGTTCCTCTCACCATCCTTAGTCAAAAAGAGTACATATTCCGTAATATCAGGGATATTGCAAATTTCCATGAATGGTGAAGACATCTCTTTTTTTATATTATATTATATTATATTATATTATATTATATTCATTAACATTGTGGGTTAACTTATTTGTCCCACTGTTCCTCCATCACAGTTGTATTCTCCCCAAGCTAGAGATGTGCTTCTCAGATGATGATGTAGGCCAGTGTTTTGTCAGTTATGCACCAGACTTTGAGATGTATCTCCAGTTCATTACAGGCCTTCCCCAAGCTGAGGCCTGCATCTCAGACAAAAACACACAGCATTTCTTCAAGGCAAGAGGAAATATTGTTTTCAGTCTGGCAGAAAGTGCTCCTTTTTTTAAAAGATGTGAAGTAAATAAACTACTATTCTTCTTCTACTGTGTTCCAGCAATATGCAAACACAGAGTTGGCACATCTGGATACCCAGGTCTTTGATGTTAGCACGAATTTGCAGAAACCCATGGAAAGAATTCAAACATACAAGAATGTACTTAAGGTGTGAGAGCTTTATCATTTTCTTTCATACATATTATATAATATGATTTATATATATTCTCCAACCGTTCAAATGTTTGGAAATAAGTTGGTAATGTTTTAATGTCTGAAGAAGTCTCTTAAACTCACCAAGGCTGCATTTATTTGATCAAAATACAGTAAAAACAATAATACTGTTAAATATGATTACAATTTAAAATTAGTGTTTTCTATTTAATTTTTTTTTTTTAATATAATTTGTTCCTTTGATGGCAAAGCTGAATTTTCAGCATCATTACTCAGTCTTCTGTGTCACATGATCCTTCAGAAATCATTCTAATATGCTGATTTTCTGCTCAAGAAAAAATTCTTATCTATCTATAAATTACAGAAACGTCTGTCTGTATGTCTGTCTGTGTGTGTGTGTGTGTGTGTGTGTGTGTGTGTGTCTGTTAACCGCATATCTCTCGATGGATTTCAAACTTGACAGGTGTCTTGCTACGGGCACGAGTAAGTGCAGTGCCAAGTTTGACGTTGTTTGGATGAGAAATGCTAAAGATATCGTTAAATATATCATTTTTAAAAGGTTGTGGTTTAAAAATAAACATTCTGACATTAGAGGGTTGTATCGGTCAAAGAAGCCCCAAGAAGGTTGTGGTTTAAAAATAAACATTCTGACATAAACACTCAGTCATCTACACTGTTTACTTCTGAATATTATAGTTTGGTTCCAAAACGTGAAATACATTTTGATTAATTTGAGTAAAAATGAGTTCCCTTTAGTCAGCAGGGAACTCCGATGCCTCGTCGGGGGAGTTCCCCTGACGAATTGGGATCACGCTAGGGAGACCAATTGCCTTCGAGTGAATTAAAACGAGCCTATGAAAATTGGCATGCGAGATTTGCATTCCGCAGCCCGCCTACCATCGCGGGTATAAAAGGCGGAAGTAAACATTGCATCATCGCTTTCAGCTTCGGAGCCGACCGATTGTGTCCTCTCTGAGTGAGTGAGCTTTAAGATTGTATCTTTCTTACGCTCTACGAGTCTGCTGTTTCGGGAGGGGATCTCTTTGTGTTGGTGAGATGGCGTTTCAGCGACCCTAGAGTTGCAAGCCTAGAGTTCAACTGCCTAGAGTTGCAAGCAGTACGCTTAGCCTTGTGTCGCCTCAAGGGGCTTCTCAGACGCAAGCACGTACTGGTCCGTACGGACAACACTGCGACCGTTGTGTACATCAACCGAAAAGGTGGTCTTCGCTCCCGTCGTATGTCGCGACTCGCCTTCCACCTCCTCCTATGGAGTCAGAAGCATCTGAGGTCGCTTCATGCCGTTCATGTTCCAGGGGAGTTCAATCGTGTGGCCGTCGAGCTTTCACGGCTGCCTCCCCTGCCAGGAGAATGGCGACTCTATCCCCAGGTGGTCCAACTGATTTGGCTAATTTTCGGAGCCGCGCAGGTAGACCTGTTTGCCTCTCCGGACATGACCCATTGCCAGTAGTATTACTCCCTGACCGAAGAAACTCTCGGCACGGATGCCCTGGCGCACAGCTGGCCCCGGGATTTACGCAAATATGCATTTCCCCCAGTGAGCCTTCTTGCACAGACCCTGTGCAAGGTCAGGGAGGACGAGGAGCAGGTCCTTTTGATGGCCCCGTATTTGCCAACCCAGACTTCGTTCCCAGAACTCATGCTCCTCGCGACAGCCCCTCCTTGGCCGATTCCTCTGTGGAAGGACCTCCTTTCTCAGAGATGGGGCATTCTATGGCACCCGCGTCCAGACCTCTGGAAACTCCATGTCTGGTCCCTCAACGGGACGCGGAGGTTCTAGATGGCCTGCCACAGGCAGTGGTAGATACCATCTCTTCAGCTAGCCCCCTCTACGAGGCGCCTCTACGCGCTGAAGTGGAACCTATTCGTCGAGTGGTGTTCTTCCCACGGGGAGAACCCACGAACTTGCCCGATCAGAGTCATGCTTTCTTTCCTGTAAGATGGGTGGAGCGAAGGCTGTCTCCCTCCACCCTCAAAGTGTATGTTGCCGCAATAGCCGCACATCACGATGTAGTTGAGGGCAAGTCCGTGGGAAGCACGACCTGGTCATCAGATTCCTCATGGGTGCTAGGAGGCTAAATAAAAGAACCACCTCGCAATTTGTACCCTGTACCCTCTTGGGACTTAACTTTAGTGCTTAGAGCGCTCCAAAGTCCTCCTTTTGAGCCTTTGCCGACAGTAGAGCTTAATTTTCTGTCCATTAAGACAGCGCTCCTGTTAGCATTTGCTTCCTTCAAGAGGGTAGGGGATCTGCAGGCATTTTCGGTCGACGAATCGTGCCTGGAGTTCGGGCTGTTCGCGTTGTATTGAGACCCCGGCTCGGATATGTGCCCAAGGTTCTTACCACTCCCTTCGCGGACCAGGTAGTGAACCTGCAAGCGCTGCCCCAGGAGGAGGCAGACTCAGCCCTAGCTTTTCTCTGTCCTGTCCGGGCCCTCCGGGTTTATATAGACAGAACCCAAAGCTTCAGGACCTCAGATCAGCTCTTTGTTTGTTACGGGGGCCAGCAGAAGGGGAAGGCTGTCTCCAAGCAGAGGTTAGCCCACTGGTTAGTGGATGCTATCACCAGGGCTTATGAGCCACAGGGTGAGCCTTGTCCTCCCAGGTTGCGCGCTCACTCTATTAGAGGCTCACTCTACTCACAAAAACTGATTTTGCACGGGCACTTTGCACTGCTCCCTGAATCGACACGCTTATTCATTTGTGGATGTTAACTGAATCTATAAGTCAGCTATGCTGTTTACTTCTGAATATTATATTTAACTCTGGTGCGCTTAACGTTATCGCTACTGTGTAATAGTCTATGCTATTCACCAACTAAACACATCCTATTCAATGCATTCACAGTCTCTTTCACGGGCATAACAAACTGTTTGCTCAAGCATAGCGTTTTCTCGGAGTTCACTTTGTGCTTTCTACCATGCACAAATAAAAATGTCATTGAACTTTTGCTGTGTAATTGTAACAATGAGCACTCAAACACACCAAACCAACAATTAAAAACACACACAAAAACGGATTTTGCACGGGCAACAAAAATAGCCTTTTACTGGTATTTTGAATCGTTAAAAATACCAGTAAAAGAAGCACTTAGAAGGTTGTGGTTTAAAAATAAACATTCTGACATTAGAGGATTGTATCGGTCAAAGAAGCCCCAAGAAGGTTGTAGTTTAAAAATAAACATTCTGATAAGCTACACTGTTTACTTCTAAATATTATATGTTATTCACGGCCATAATTTGTAGTAACCTATTCACAAACTGTTTGCTCAAGCGTAGCATTTTTTCGGAGTTCACTGTGTAGCCTGCTGCTCCCTGAAATCTGTAAGTCACCTACGCCGTTTACTTCTGTATATTATGAGTACATCTTAGTAGTTATGGATCATTTCACAAGGTTTGCCCAGGCATACACCACCAGAAATCGTCATCTGAAGACCTTTTGATTTCTGTCTATCACTGACTTGGCAAGTTGTACGGAAGTGGCTAAATAAACTACACTTTTGTGTATGAGTGAGCAGTAGGCAACCGACTTAAGAGGTATTAACCAACCCTGCACCCTCTGACCAAGATCAGACTGGCGAGGCTGTGTCAGTGAGATCCACGTAAACCCGGGGCATGTGACTCTGTGTGGCATCGGGTCCCTTAATGAATGAATAATTGAAAGTACGGGATACTCAGAATAATCAAAGATTTAAATTAATTCATAATATTTATGACTATTCTATTAAGAAACACAATCTAAATTTGATTATCATTTGAAATTGGAGTCAGATTAAGTGTAGAGCTAAAGTAATATTGAAACTAAATACCAATAAATTAAGTGAACCTCACTGGAGCGCTGAAAAGACATACTGTTACAGTTGCTCTGTCGATGAAGGCACGAAGATGAGGATGAAAGGTTTCCAAGATAAATTTAATGATCTACAAGGTTATACAATAGACTAGTGCAGACACAACCAAACACATACGTTACATAAACGATAACCGACCAGGAGTGAGGGAGAACACAGGGTTTAAATACACATAGAACAGAATGGGGAAACAAGGCACAGCTGGGGCAAATGAACTGATAATGACAGGTAAACAGGTGAATTAACTAAACAGTAACGAGGAGCGGGAAAATAGAAACAGGACTGAACCAAATACACAAAGAACGGGGGAAACACAGGATACACATGTAACACATACATGCATTATCCCTTCGCCAGGCCGTTGGATTCCGTCATTGGGCCAATGGGTGGTCCTTACACACGTGAAGAAAATCCTCAGTTAAAACACATGATGCCTTTTATAAGACCTAAATAAAAGTCAAAGAATCCCGTTTATCACAAAATATTGTATAGTATAAATGCTGACGTAGGTTAAGTCAATATCCTGTTCATGTTTTTGGTGTTGTCCTGTTTCTGATGTGGATTCTGTGAAGGTTTCCTTTATTTAAGGAGCTTATAAAACACTTATAATGCACATGAAGGAACAATCTCTAATCATTGTGTAACCGGGTGGTCAGAAAAAAGAAACACACGGCAACAGATTAATTTTGTTTGTATGGGGTTTTATCTGACTGCTGTTTATTTCCTTAAAAGAAGTTACAGCGGTCGGTGGAAACACAGCTGAGCAAAAATAAATAAATAAAAGTCAATAAAATGCAAGAAAATAGGAAGTAAGAAAAACTACTAAATTCGAATTATTACTCAAAGAGTTACACAGTGTAATGACACTGTAGGCTTACAGAAATAATAATAATGTGATACTTCACCTGTTCCAATGTAAAAAAAAAAAAAAAAAAATTAGATTACCAACAGATGGACACTGGTTGGAAACCAGAACGAGACAAACACTCCCAAAAAATTTACTTTGGAGTGAACACGACGCAATAATCAGGCTTCAGTCTTCTCCGTTGAAATCAATGGGGTCACTGTGTCCATTTCTTTTACTGTCTATGGTTTTTCTGGACCTTGAAAACATTGGACTTTAGAGA